CCAACCTCCCCCCCCCCCCCCCCCCCCCACCGAGCCACAGAGCTGGCAGGTGGGTGCCACATCTGAGACTCCAGCAACATGGCTCGCACTGTTTGTTCCTCCCCAGTGATGCCCTGAGGCCCTGCCACCCAGCTTCCAGGCTCACCCAAGCTGCTTCCGGTGGCTTTTCTATACAAATGGTTTGTCTTGACCCACGCTTCAGATTTTCCTAAATGCTCTCAAACAAGCAGCACCAGGCTTCAGCAAGCCCCATACCTCTTGATAAGCTGCCCCAGGCCCAGCACTAGCAGCTGCCAGCCTTGGTTCACAACTTGGCCTTGCCTGGGCACCTCCAAGCCCAGCACTGGTAGCAGCCACCTGCAGATCACTTTGTAGCTTTTACTGTGTGACTCCAGAGAGAGCGCAGGTGGTGGCTGACCTTAGATGTGCCAACAGTAATCAAGGCTCAACTATAACAGGAGCACGTACACTGCCCACATGGTGGGTGCATCTCGAGTACTCAGCTTGGGTGGTAGGGGAGGCTGTGCCACTGGACCCTGTAGGACACTTACTACATTAGACCACTCTCCCAAGCCTGGGAGATGCAGCACCTCTACCTAGTACATAGAAACAAACTCAAGGAGGCTGCCAAAATGAGGAGACAAAGAAACATCACCCACATGAAAGAACAGAACAAAGCTCCAGAAAAAGAAGTAAACAAAACGGAGATCAGCAATCTACTAGATGCAGAGTTCAAAACACTGGCTGTAAGGATGCTGAAGGAACTTAGTGAGGACTGCAACAGCATAAAAAAGATCCAGTCAGAAACAAAAGACACTCTAATTAAAATAAGGAACAATCTACAGGGAATCAACAGTAGAGTGGATGAAGCTGAGAATCAGATTAGTGATTTGGAATATAAGGAAGCAAAAAACAACCAATCAGAACAGAAAGAAGAAAAAAAAGAATCCAAAAAAAAAATGAAGATAGTGTAAGGACCCTCTGGTCAATAGCATAATCAAGTACACCAACATTCACATCATGGGGGCGTCAGAAGGAGAAGAGAGAGAGCAAGAAACGGGAAATCTATTTGAAGAAATAATGACAGAAAACTTCTCTAACTTGGTGAAGGCAATAGATATACAAGTCCATCCAGTTTAATGTCTTAATTAAAGACATCAAGTGCAGAGAGTCCCTAACAAGATGAACTCAAAGAGGCCCACGCCAAGACACATCATAATTAAAATGCCAAAGGTTAAAGACAAAGTAAGAATCTTAAAACTGGCGAGAGAAAAGCAGCTAGTTACCTACAAGGCAGCTCCCATAAGACTGTCAGCTGATTTCTCAAAAGAAAGTTTGCAGGCTAGAAGGGATTGGCAAGTAAGAGTCCAAGAGATGAAAAGCAAGGACCTACAACCAAGACTGCTCTACCCACCAAAGCTGTCATTTAGAATCAAAGGCAGATAAAGAGCTTCCCAAACAAGAAAAAGCTAAAGGAGTTCATCACCACCAAACCAGTATTACATGAATGTTAAAGGGTCTTCTTTAAGAAGATCAACACTATGAACAATAAAATGGCAATAAATACATACCTATCAACAATTGAATCTAAAAAACAAAATAATATAGATATGGACAACCGTTTCAAGGTTGCTAGATGTCAGGGAGTCGGGGGGGATTGGTGCAAAAGGTGAAGGGGTTAAGAAGAATTGTTATTAATCTGTAGTTATAAAACAGTCATGGGAATGTAAAAAATACAGCATAGGAAATAGAGCAGCCAAAGAACATGTATGCATGACCCATGGACATGGGCAATGGTATGGCAATTGCCTGAGGGAACAGGGTGGGAGCTGGGTAGAGGGGGCAAAGGGGGAAAAATTGGGACAACTGTAATAGCATAAATGATAAAATATAATTAAAAAAATAGCAGTGGACAGCTTAAGAACAGGTATTGGTGTCTGCAGCGATAAGGAGTGCAATATGCAGTCTGAATCCAGGGAGAGTAATTGCTTACCAAGACCAACAGTTGAGCCTCTGCAGAACATGATAGAATCTGAATTCACTACGTTTTATCCAAAACATCCAACTTTCAACTGAAAATTACTAAATATGCCAAGAAACAGGAATATAAATCTACATTTAAAAAAGAGAGTAATCAATACAAGCCAATGCTAAATGGGCCCAGATGTTGGATTTAGCAAGGATTTCAAAGTAGTTATTTAAATATGTTGAAAAAATTTTAAAAGAAAATATGTTCTAATAGTTGAAAGAAAATGTATAATAAATGTAGAAACAAGGAATCTCAAGAGAAATAAAACTACTTTAAATGGAAATTCTAGCACTGAAAATTATAACTGAAATAAAAGTTTTACTAACAGACTCAAGAGCAGATTGGAAACGGCAGATAAAAGAATGAGTTACTTTTAGAGAATTTGGTAACAATGACCTAATCTGGGGAACACAGGGAAAAAAGATTTTAAAATATTAATACAAATTAGACTTCAGGGAAATGAAGATCAAAAACTTAAGAAGAAAACGGTTCAAACCCATTAGGACAGCTAGAATCAAAAACATATATATTGGCAAAGATGTGAAGAAACTGGATCATTTTTTTGGATACTGCTAGTGGGAATGAAAAATTCGTGCAGCCACTTTGGAAAACAGCCTGGTGGTTCCTCAAATAGTTACAATGAGTTACCATATGAGCCTACAATTCTTACATATATACCCTTACATATATACTTACATATAATGCTTTTGTATATATATGTATATATAATGCTTTTGTATTATGTATATAATGCTTTTGTATATATACATATATATATATATACAAAAGCATTAAAATTTTCCACCCTGGCTGGTGTGGCTCAGTGGATTGAGCACTGGACTGAGAAGAAAGTGTTGTCAGTTTGATTCCATCAGGGCACACACCTGGGTTGCGGGCCAGGTCCCCGGTGCGGGGCATGAAAGAGGCAACCAACAGTGATTGGAACTCTCTCTAAAAATAAATCAACAAAGTCTTTTTGGAATCCTTTCTTTCTCCCTCTCTAAAAATAGATCAATAAAGTCTTAAAAAGAAAACTTTCCCACAAAAACTTGTGCATGAATGTGTATAGTAGCATTATTCACAATAGCCGAAAGTGGAAACAACATATCTAGCAACTGATGAAAGCTAAACAAAATGTAGTCTATCCAGTGAAAGTCTATCCGGTACTGAGCTATAAAAAAGAATGAAGTACTGGCACAGGCTATAATTTGGAGAAACCTTGAAAATACGTATTACGCTTGGTGAAAGAAACCAGTCACAAAAGACTACATACTGTATGTTCCCATTTATATGGAAAGTTCAGAAAAGGCAAATCTATAGGGACCCAAACTAGGTTGCCTTCTCCCCCAATCCCTCATCATGCTACCTAGAAATGGATGGCTGAATTCCAGCAGTCACACTGAAACATAAGGATGGAGTACACATTAGGGATGGCAGGGAGGAGAACTGGAATGATCCTTAGTCATTCCTGTACTTTACAGACTTCATAAAACTGCCACACTAGACCACTTATTTGTATACCCACTTATTTTGGGCTATTACACATAGCCAAAAGAGTTGAGACACAGAAACCATGTGAATGAGGGGGAAGAAGCTCAGGAGAAGGGTGGAAGGGAAGGGAGTTTATTGAGGAAGATGGGACTACCCCTGCAGTTTTACTGGCTATTCAACCACAGCCCAGCCTCACCACAGAGAACTGTGTTAGACTGAGAGTAGGACTGGCTTAGCTAGTTCCACTCCCAGGAATGAGAGAAGTGAGATCAGCACTGCCCAGCATGGGGAAATGTGTTATAGGCTCTTGCCCAGTGGGACAAAACCATGCCAGGGCACAGGTTCTCCCTTGGCATGTTCACAAGCCTAACCCTTTCAATAGAGCACAGCAGGCAATACAGGGTGGAACAAAAGTAGATTTACAGTTGTGAGTACATACAACAAAGAATTATTATTTATTATTGTATTGCTTTCCATACAAATGACTATAAACCTACTTTTGCCCCACCCTGTGTTTAGGACAATTTGGAAAGCACATTACTGGGTAGAAGGGATGATTACTTTTTGTTTTGTGTGGCCTTTTGCTTAGGAGCAAGTGCTTTATTATCAGGAATAATGGACAATTATGGACTTTGCTGCTTCTGACCTAAATCCAAAACCTCTATTTATCAAATGAATGGTGACAGAATGCTCTGACAGAGACTCAGGACCTGCCATTGACAGAATCACTTGGATCCACACCTATAAGCACTGAGTTTGTGATCTGAGCAGAGTAGCTATAAACACTCTAGAAGCAGATTTCCTGGTTCAGGAACAAGCTCTTGACGGTCAGTTGTCTGCAGGTTACCTGACCTTTGTGCCCTGTTTCTCCTTTATAAAATGGGAGTGGCAACAGTATGTTCCTCACAGTGATTCTGAGAAGGCTAAATGAACTAAGCACGCAAGCCACAGAAGGTTTTCAGGAGCCACATAAATGCCAGCAGTTTTTACTGCCATCACTCTCCAGAAGAATTCATAGGCTTCAAGGATCCAATCTGAAAGTCTGCATCTCCAGCCAGTGATTTCTCTCCTCCACTCTGCTACAAGCCACATTGTCTCAGTGCTTTCTGAAGCCTTTCTTGCCTCACACGGACAGATATATCTTATCCAGCTACCAAGACAGCACCCCCTTGAGCATTCAGACCAGTTCTAATATCTATTATCTAGTGGGTACTCAAATATGCTGCCAAGCATATTACTCTGAATTTTACTTTATATTGAAAAAAATTATTATTTATGATTTCAGAGAGAAGGGAAAGGAAAGTGGGAGGGAGGGAGGAGCAGAGAGGGAGAGGGGGAGTGAGAGAAAGAAACAAAGATTTTTGTTCTGCTTATTCATGCATGCATGGGTTATTCTTGATTCTTGTATGTGCCCTGACCAGGGATTAAGTCTGCAACCTTGGCTTTATTGGGGCGACATTCTAACCAATGGAGCTACCTGGCCAGAACACAGATTTTTATTTTTAAGTATTATACATACATTTATAAGTGCACATGGTGTATTTTATGTACAATGAATTAGGTAGCTGGTAAAGGACCAATATGCTTACTGGAAAATAATTTCCTACAAGGGTAAAAAAGGTGTGGAGAACAGCAGATCAATTTAGGAGACTAAAACTATACATGGATAGACAATGGATACAGGTTTTCATCACCAGAACTGCACCCTCACCCTCTCCTTCTGCCTAGATGGTTACAAGGCAGAAAGCTCTTGTCAAGGGTGAACTCCCAGGTGTTGGTCGCATAGGCTGTGAGGGGAGAAGGAAAGAACAGCAGACAATTGGCCCCTTGGAAGCTGGCTACAGCCTTGCCATGAGCCCCACGTTGTAGCCCCCGAGTTGCAACGTCCTGGTCACTGGAGTGATGAACCCCATCCTGCTGACTTCTGGTGAACTCAAGCCCCTTGCTTCACAAGAACATCAGAAAGATCCTCGGTTCCTTCCAGCTTTAGATTCTGAAAGTGGATCAAACATACATGGACTCTGGTATACCAAGAACTCAAAACCACAAAAAAAACTCTGAGGTAACAAAGAATGAGGTTTGTCCCACAATTATAAGTAAAATTATGTCATAACAAATATAATTTGCATGAGAGGACTGGTTTCAAATCCCTGCCAATCACAGGGGAAAACAGCAGCAAGCCTTCTCTGGTTCTGGCTCCCACACAATCTCTGTGTACAGGGCCCAAGAGCTAGGCTACCTGCCCTGAAGAAACAAAGGAAAATGGATAGGGAGGCCACTAGGAGCCACAGTGCATTTACTAACCTGTCTATGCATGGCCAGACTGGTCCTGTCTATGCATGCATCTCCAGGTCCTCCCCAACCCAAACTCCACCCCTTAGTGATGGCCACACATCCATTCTCTCCCTGGTCTCTGGGCAGATTTTTCCCACCTCCCAATTCTTCCTCACTCTCCCAGTCCAGGAAGTCTCCACCAAGTTCAGGCAAGTGCTCCCTCAGGACTGAACCACTGTCAGTGCCCTTTTTGCCTAACCTCACTTGGCACTGGAGGGAGGTGTGATGTGTTGTGCTCAGCAGCCACACTTTTCTAGCAATAGCATACCTCCCAGACTGCTAAAGATGGAAAGCTCAGATCACACCTCCCAGGTGTGATGTCTGCAGCTCGGGATCCAGAAGTTGCTTAGGTGTGGCTTATCAGTGACACATTACTAGAACTCAGGGCCACAAAGGCATAGAGCCCAGCCTCCCTCCATGGCTGCCCCAAGCCCTACCACATTGCATATGAGAGGAGCTCCATACCAGAGTGACTGATGAGGAGTTCAAATAGGAGGGAAAGACTGGGAAAAGGAAGCCCAGGAAATGGTCATGTTCTGATAGTAAGTGTGGGGAGATCTCTCTTGGTGGCTCCAAGCTGAATTATACATAAATCCCTGAAGATTTTCACGGTTACTGTCAGAGTACATGTTCCCAGTCAAATCTCAAAGAGCCCAGAGCTAGGCCCCAATAATGACCTCAGTGCTTAGCCCAAAAGGTCATGGTCTGAGGCTCCCTCCCTATCCTTCAAATGCTGAGCGCCCTGAGGTCCCTTACAGAGCTGTGATCACAGCAAAAGAGACAATGCCAGTACTGCCACTGAGGAAGCAGTATAGTACCAGGGCACAAGTCTCACTGATCTCCTTAGTAGTATCTACCTGAGTTCCTGGCTACTTGGGAACCAAGTAAGGGCCACAAGCTGTTTTCCTGGGGAAGAGACAGGTTTCTAAGAAGACACACAACCCAAGGAGCACTCTGCTCCTCATACTGGTACTCTGGAAGTGCCCCACATTTCAGAAGCCTGTGTGTGCTACATCCATAGGGGTGACATGAGACCCCAGGCCTCCCCTAGAAAAGCACAGCAGTGATTTTTCTGAATGTGGCTGGTACACCCTCCTCCTTAGAGAGGGGGTCGTCCTCAGAGCCATTTGTGGATTTCTTGTCAGGACAACAAATTATCTTTTTATTCATTTTTCTCTCCTAGTCATTCTTTTCTCATGTAGTTGGCTTCTGACATCTGACATCTTAGGGTGTGTCAGGAAGCACACAGACACATCTGAGTGCTGGCTCCCACAACCAGATGCCCCCGCCTTGCCTTCATGACCTCTGACCAGGACACACCATCTCTGCAGTCAGCCTGGCTGCTCACTCCAACCAGCAGCTGTGTGCTTTGTGCTCCTGGGCTGACACTCCCCTACAATGGCTCTGACGCACCACTGTTCACTCTTAGGAGTTAAACTGGGTTATTTTGTTTGGGCCTCAGTTGCTACCCAGCTGAGTGGTTACAGGTCCGATGGTCAGCCCCACAGTCAGGTCACATATAGCGTGTGGCCCTGGCTCCGTGGCTCTTCTACATCTGTTTCCCACCCAAAGTCAAAACTAGCTTCTGTGAAACAGACAGCTTCTTCTCTGGTGGTCAGGAGCTTAGAAGTTGGCAAGAGAAGTGGTCCCTGATTCCTAGGGGTAGGTCCACAGGGACTCATTGAAGGCTGTGTTACACAGGCCACTGTATAGGGGACAGTCCCTCCTTGGAGCCTGACAGTCAGTTCAAAGCAAAGGCAGGCCTGGGAAACCAAGCTAATTCATCACTGTTCCTCATGTCATTAAGAGGTCAGAGATTAGACAATGAGTAATTCCTCGCACTGCTATCAGCTCCCGATTTTTGCTAGCATTCCATTCCAATCTTTTTAGTCCTCTCAAACCATACTTCAGCTGTCATATTCATCGGACCTCTCACCTCCAGAGCAAGGCACTTGCCCTAGAAAGGGTTGAGGGCCACAGTGGTAGCAGCTAGGCACCCGTGTCGCTAGTGATGCTCACAGCACATGCTACAGCCCAAGCCCAGCCCACGGTCTTCTACTTCAAGTGCCAGTCTGCATTAGGGACCAGCTGCCTGGGGATACCAAAGGACAGCAAGTTTCCAGCAGTACCACATGCTCAGTGTGCCCCCTGGAGCATCAAAAGGCTCCTGAGGGTGAGTTGCCACCTGCTCTTTCTGTAATCCCTGGCCAAGTGCAGCACAGTGAAGAGCCTGGCACACTGTCACAGGTGGCATTTCCACTGTCTCCCTCCTTGTGACAGATACCTCCATTCTTTAGACTTTCCTTACTGCTCTTGGTGGCCCCACTTGTCTCCCTGAGCATCTGACTTCCTTCTGCCCTATGCTTTCTACTCTTCTCCGCCATATTTCCCATGTGTCTTGACTTTGGCACTGGCAGGACTTGGCCTTTGAAGTCTTTGACACCAATGATATGAAGGTGCTTTATGTTTTCAAATTGGAAATATACATACCTAAAATTATCTCATTTGGGTCTTCCTCATTATTTTTATTGCTAATCACACCTAATGGCCTTTTTCTAAGTTCCTTCTCAGTGCCTGGCCAAACTCTGGGTTGCAGGTACCATGTAGGTCACTGTACTTGATATATCCTATGAGGTAGCCATGAAACATCTAATAAAAAGTCCATGCTTACCAGAGTCACCTACCTTTTCATTGGCTAAATGTAGGAGACAGGCAAAGGCCAGGGGTACAGAGAGGTTCTGAGCCATGAGGGGCGGCAGGCTGTGAAACAAAGGGCAGTATTTAGCTAGGTCACTGCAACTGTAGAAACAAAGGCTCTTTCATCAACATGAATACATATGTTCAATGAATTAAACTAATGAGAAACAAAGATATATTTCAGATGCATTTGATTGGCAGGTTTTTCCAGTTCTTTTTTATCTGGAAATAAAGTATATCTGCTGTTCCATTACAAGTACTAGAATAGAAAAGTGTCCTTTTAAAGTCGGTCTATATTAACTCATTTATCAATGCAGAGAAAAAAAACAGAAAAACTGCTAGAAGTGTTAGAACAGCAAGTTGTGTGCAGAGGGTCCATCACACTAAGAGTTCAGGCTGAAGCACTCTCAGACAGGCTGAAGGACATGCCAGCCCCTGAGTTTGCCGACACGCACCGCTTCTGCAGGTCCCAGGTGAGCTTGCTCAGCATCTTCCCATCAGTCACCTCCGCCAGATCCCCCTTTTGTCCAGTCTCACTGTGGTGCTTTGCCTAAGAGAAGAAGGATATTCACAGATCAGACATCTGATCTGGGGCCAGTTCACTTTTGAGGGAGTAATATAAACTTACAAAGTTCTATTTCCAGAAAGAAAAGCCTACATCTGGATGAAACCCAAACAATTTCTTAGGTACATTTTCAACAAAAATGATCCATAAATGGACCCAGTGCCTTAGCCCTGGAGCATGAAACTAACATTTACTGAATTTTTGGTAAAATCACAGGAAATGAAAAATTACAGAGTAATAAAGAAAAAAATGATAATGTAACAAAAAGCCATGATTATTTATAGCTTCAACTGGACCACACAATTAAGGGCAGCACAGAAGCCATATCTAAAAGTAGACTTAACTTTCCACTTAACACACTAACACAAACACGGCTCCCTCCTCCCTAGCAGGCAAGCAGTTATAAAAGGATATTAGGGACTTCGGTCAAGATGGCAACATAGGCAGACCTGCCTCTTCTCTTTGAATAACCACATGAAAATTGTAATTAAAATATAGAACAACCATCACTTTAAACCATTAGAAACCAGGTTGAATGGAAGTCTGACAACTCTGGAATTAAAAAAACCACAGCCATCCAGTTGGTGCAAGAGGCACAGACATGGAATGGGTTGGTCCCTCACCCACATGTGGTGAATTAAATATTGGGAGGGATATATTGGGAGCGAGGAGTTCCAGCCCCATACCAGGCCCTACAGTACAGGGTCCCCGTGCCAGGAAGATAAGTCCCTACAACTTCTGGCTGCAAAAACCAGAGAGGATTGGCTTGGGAAAACTGCTGGAGCCCCAAGCAGTTCCTCTTAAAGAATCCACACACAGACTCACCTACTCAGATTCATTCCCTCTGAGCTCCAGCACCAGAGTAGCAGCTTGAAAAGCACCTGGGAGAAACTGGGGTGTCTGGCATCAAGACGAACAGAGGCCATTATACTTTTTCTAAACCCTCTCCCCACAGAGCCAGCAAGCTGGTGTCATATTTGAGACTCAACCAACCTGGCTGACACTATTTGACCCATCTTGGAGATCCCTAGAAACTCTGTTCCATACAACTTACAGGTCCACCCAAGATGCTTTTCCATATGAATGGCTGGTCTTCACTCATGCGTCACAATTTCTAAAATCCTCTCAAACAAGCAAAAGCTGGCTTCAGTGAGCCCCAGGCATGGCACTAACAGCAGCCAGCCTAGATTTACAGCTTGGCTTCAGTTGGGAATCTCCAAGCTCAGCACAAGTAGCAGCCATTTCAGATTGTTTCATAGCTCATGCAGGGCAGCCATGGACAAAACATAGGTGGAGGCTGACCTTGGCCTGCACCATCTGGGAAACCCCAAGGTCATCACATGCAGTAGACAGCTACAGACCATGTCAGAGCACCACCACCCTGCCTCTGCACAGTTGATCCTCCATGATGGTGGAGGTTGGTGGTAAGCGGTCACAGTCAATCCTTGCAACTGACTGGCCTAGGTAAATCACTCCCAGTAACCTGCCAACAGCAACCAAGTCTGAAATATAAGAGGAGGGTGTACTCAACCCATGTGAAGGGCACACCTTGAGGACCCAGCTTAGGAAATAGGGGAGACTACCACTGGAGCCTACAGGATGCCTACTACATTTGGACATGCTACCAACACAGGGAGTCATAATATCTCTACTTCATAAGTAGGAACAAACACAGGGAAGCTGCCAAAACAAGGAGACAAAGAAACATGACCCAAATGAAAGAACAGATCATAAAAAAGATCCAGTCAGAAAGGAAGGATGCACCAATTGAAATAAAGAACAATTTACAGGGAAAGAACAGTAGAGCAGATGAAGCCGAGAATCAAATCAATGATTTGGAACATAAGGAAGCAAAAAACCACCAATCAGAATAACAAGAAAAGAGAGTCCAAAAAAAACAAGGATAGTATAAGCAGCCTCTGGGACAACTTCAAGTGTACCAACATTTGCATCATAGGGGTGCCAGGATGAGAAGAGAAAAAGCAAGAAACTGGAAATCTATTTGAAAAAATAATGAAATTACACCTCCCTAATCTGGTGAAGAAAATAGACATGCAAGTCCAGGAAGCACAGAGTCTCACACAAGATGGATGTGAAGAGGCCCACACCAAGACACAACATAATTAAAATGCCAAAGGTTAAAGATAAAGAGAGAATCTTAAAAGCAGCAAGAGAAAAGCAGTTACCTATAGGAGAGCTCCTATAAGACTGTCAGCTGATTTCTCAAAAGAAGCTCTGCAGGCTAGAAGGGACTGGAAAGAAGTATTCAAAGTCATGAAAAGCAGGGGGTCTACAGCCAAGATTCCTCTATCCAGCAATGCTATCATTTAGAATAAAAGGGCAGTAAAGAGCTTCCCAGACAAGAAAAACTAAGGGAGTTCATCACCAGACCATTATTACAGGAAATATTAAAAGGACTCTTTTAAGAAAAAGAAGATGAAAACTATGAAGAATAAAATGGCAAAAAATACATATCAACAATTGAATCTAAAAAACAAATTAAGCAAACAAGAACAGAGACACAATCATGGATATGGAGAGCATTTTGATGGCTGCCAGATGGGAAGGCAGTGTGGAGCAATGGGTGAAGAGGTGAGGGGATTAAGAAGTATGAACTGGTAGTTACAGAATAGCCATGAGGATGTAAAGTACAGCCTAGGAAATGGAGTAGCCAAAGAAATTATACACATGACCCATGGACATGAACAATGGTAAGGGGATTGCCTGAGGGAGTGGGTGGTGCTGGGTGAAAAGTGACAAAGGGGGAAAATCTCAGGACAACTGTAATAGCATAATCAACAAAATATAACTTGAAAAGATATTTTTAAAAAATTTAAAAGGGATTTATGTCTGATATTTGCATTAAAAAACTCATAGTGTGTGCATGATGAGGTGGGTGGGGTGACAGAACTGTGTAAAGGTAAAGGTAAAATGCTGATAATTGTTGGAAGTAGATGTTCACTATACTATTCTATTTTCTATCTTTTTTTAAAGATTTATTTATTTATTTTTAGAAAGGGAAGGGAGGGAGAAAGAGAGAGAGAGAGAAACATTAATGTGCGGTTGCTGGGGGCTGTGGCCTGCAACCCAGGCATGTGCCCTGGCTGGGAGTCAAACCTGTGACACTTTGGTTCGCAGCCCCTGCTCAATCCACTGAGCTACGCCAGCCAGGGCTCTGTTTTCTATCTTTTTAAAAAATAAGCTTTAGCCCTGGACAGTGACTCTGTTGGTTGGAGCATCCTATATACCAAAAGGTTTCAGGCACGTACAGGTGGCAACCAATTGATGTTTCTCTCTCACACTGATGTTTCTATCTTCTCTCCCTTCCTCTCTCTCTAAAATCAATGAACATATCCTCGGGTAAGGATTAAAAAAAACACACCCCTTTAACCAGAATCCTTTGAGGACAGAGTCATGTAAATTCAAAGGTTAAAACAGAAAACCCTTTCTACTTTTTTTTTAAAGCAAATTACATCTTTTTTTAATGAAGATTTTTATTTTATTTATTTTTAGAGAGGGAAGAGAGGGAGAAAGAGAGAGAGAGAAATATTAATGTGGGGTTGCTGGGGGGTCATGGCCTGCAACCCAGGCATGTACCCTGACTGGGAATTGAACCTGTGACATTTTGGTTCACAGCTCGTGCTCAATCCACTGAGCTACGACGCCAGCCAGCCCTTTCTACTTTTTAAAAAGCATATTTCTTTGACGTTTGCATCCCATTTCATTTTAGTTGACAGAACTTCAGAAATACAACAGAAGCTTTATCTGATATCCAAGACTACATAGCTCAGGGTCCTCAATGAAATCATAATTTTCACTTCTCAGCCAGGAGAGAAGGTACAAGAGAACTGGCTGAGTTAGAAAGGCTCAGAACATCCCCCGAGCAGAAGAGGATTGAAAGGAGAGACAGAGGGTTCTAGTTAATGGAGAGTTCCATTCAGCTGGAACACATTAACCATGGTTTCACCTTGATTAGAAAGAGAAAAGAGACAATTTGACAGCATAATGTTTTTGTGTACTTTGAAATTTCGAATACATTTCCCAAATTAGTATTATTAGATCAAAGGGCTCAAACACTTTATGGCACCTGAGATACCAAAATTTGCTATCCAAAAGGGCTATTTCTCAACTTGAATTGTACCAGCAGTTAACCCATCCTGCAGTCTTTCTTTGACTCTACACTGACAAACACTATTTAGCTGCTAAGCTGTTATTGGAAAGTAGCATAAACATCCTTTCACCTTTGGTGTTTTGATCAGCAGCAAGCCTGAGTAATGTCTCATGTTCTATTACCTTGTGTGTGACCTATTCAAACCCTAGTTAACCTCTTTCAGGGGTGATGTCATCCTGATGTTTCTGAGCGATGCCTCCTGCATTGGCACTCTGGATCCTCGAGCCATGGACACCAGCAGCTCCCCACCCCCCTGTCCCACACTAGGCACCTAGAGAGGTGGAGCCCTTCACCTCCACCACCTCCATGTTTGCTAACCTCCATGTCCACTTGTGTGGAAGAGTCTGTCAGCAAACTCCACATGCTCTGCTTCAACTTCTTCATGTCCATCTTTTTGGCAGTCTTGGCATAATGAATTTCAATTTTAGTTACCTGAAATAGGTATGTGACATAAAGTAAAACTTAGCAGAAGAAAGAAACATTTATCATCAACACACTGTAAAATGAGACGGGAGTTCAAGTAAAGAATTTAGTTTAAATCATGGAGTTAAAGAGCTTCCTTTGAACGTATTAAAATAGGGCCCCTTATTTTAACCTTATTTCTTGTCAAGTACAATGTACATTAAGGTTAACCTGGAACTCCAGAATAAAAGAAAAGAGTGAACCTAATATATATGATAACCTATCATCTGCTATGAAACAGATAGATGCTTAAGGCAGATAATTTAATATAAACTTGATCTGGCCTAGATTTTCCAGAGCCAAACAGCTAGTCTCAGCCAATCAACACAGAAACCCACTCTCTCTGCTTGCAGCCTTTGTTCACATACTTTGTGTAAGTGGTTTATTATCACCTTTAGAAATGGCTTGTTCCACAAATCTAATGAGTGTCAGTTCATCCCCATAACCCTATTTAAGAAGCAGATACTTGGATAGCAGTGGCTTAATCAAAAAGAAAATCTCAAGCTCAGACCAATGCAACTCTCATTCAGTAGGCAAATGACACAGACCTCAGGAGAACACCATGAAATGGAATTCTCACTCCATCTTTACCTTTTTAGGCTCAGCTACCAGGTTTGATTCCCCATATCGAGTGATGTCTGATCCATGGGTGTCAGGCGAGTCATCGTTCTCTTGTGTTGTCTTAGGTGAATGGCAAGGATAAGCTGAGAGGTCAGAGGTCCCAAATGGTCCCTCAAATAAGTCACCTGATTCTTCATAATCACTGTTAGCAGCCTGGTCAAGAAAACAGCTCTTCAAGTTTGGCAGAAGCTGTGGGAGGGGCTTAGAGATGTCCCTGAAGGAAACTGTATTTACACAGCAAGAGCAAATGGTTTGTTATGCTGGGTCAGCTTAGGGTGGACTTCGAGGTGCCTCTAGTTATCCTCCTCTTGTACAAACCCTATGTGGTGGACATCTATTAATAACTAAGACTAGGCCCTGGCTAGTGTGGCTCAGTTGGAGTGTCATCCCATAACCAAAAGGTTGTGGGTTTGATCCCTGGTCTGGGCACATATGGCAGGCAATCAATTGATGCTTCTTTTCTGCACTGATGTTTCTTCCTTTCCTTTCCTCTCTCTCTCTAAAAGCAATGAAAATATATCCTCAGGTGAGAATATAAAAAAAATTAAAAATAAAATGAGACCATGGAATGAGAATCAAAAGGAATATAGTCATCACAACTACTGCAGTATCTCCTTGACTTTTAACAGATTTAGGGTTTCATTTTACAGAAAGCATTCCTGAAATAGCGTGACCTGTCAGCAGGCCAGCAGAAAGTCAATGTTGGCCAAGCCCAGCAGCAACAGATCAGCTCTCTGGGGTGGGGCCCAGGAATGGTTTGTTAATTAGCTGTCCTGGAGAAACCCTGGTCAAGAAATCAGTCTGGATTTTCACTAAAATATAAAAATTCAACTCTCAAAATAAGGTGAATAAACTATCCTTCCAATTACTTCTCCTCTCCCTACATGCAGGGTCCCAGATGAAGTCTAATGTTCTTCCCTTGCTGTTATTTCCACTTGTGTCTCAGTAGTAGACTCACAGAAGAAGCACTGACACTATCCAGTCTCATAGGACTCTAAAGATGGGAGTAGCTCATACAAATTCACACTGTCAGAACTAGTATCAGAGCTATAGCCTGGTCTCCTGAGACCCACACATGAACCTTTTTTCCCTGTTAGGACCCACCATCTTTTCATGTCTATGAATTTTACCCCCCCAACCAAAATATCAACTCCTAAGAGTAGAAAGTATTTTCTTTTGAAATTCCAAATACAAGTGCTTTGCATATGCTGACAACTCCATCCATATGTTGACTGGTTACTGAAGCAGGCCCACTTTTCTACAAATAGAGCTAACTGTAAGGCAGGCTAGGCTCTGGTTGTTTCCTCAGCTTTGCTCAGTTCCCCAATGCCTGAGGAAGGGCAGGGATCCAAAAACCTCCACATGACTAAAATCCTACAGCATTTGAGACATGGAAGGGGGAGATAGGAGCAGGAAAGACACTAGTAGTTGGAAGATAGGACAGAGAGCTCTTCTTCCTTTACCTGTAATCCAGGGCAGAAGTTGGATGTATCATTAGGGTTATTATAGTCATAGTCTCCAATTTCTTCATAATGTTCGGTCCCTACTCTCTGGCCATGGGCTACTGTAAGGATCTAGAATGAAGGAAAGAAAAACTGGAGAAAGCAATTTCTAGAAAAGTAACCATTCAACTGAGATCCTATGCTCAATCTTCTAGAATTTTAGAGTTACAAGGACCCTCAAAGTTATCTAATGCAACCAACTTTCCACTGTACAACTCCATTCTAGAGTAAGCGGAGGTAGCAGGGCTCAAAGCTCTCGTCAATCCCAAATAAATCAGAGCAGCTGGTTTGCAAGGAGGCCTGCACACAATTTTATTTGAAAAAGGGTTCTTTCACTAAAATCGAGACTGCCTATAATTATCTGAAGTCAACTTTTTGCTATTTGCACAATTCATATAGAAAGCTCACCCATTTACTACTTTAATGAGGCAACAGCTGTTCTCCACAGAGCTACAGGAAGACACTCTACTCCCTGTCATCATATCCAGGGTCCTTGCCCTGCCTTCCAGAGCCTCACAGATCAAGTCTGCCTCTTCTTCTTTTTTTTTTTTTTTTGGAGTGCCTGTTAACGACATCCCTTTAGGTATTTGCAGGCCCTTAGACCAGTGATTTTTACCTGGAATACATATCTTTGGGGAAGGGAAGTAGTTTTAAGTTACATACAGTTTATAAAGTACAATTAATATTTTAAATTATATTTTATCATTTAAGCTATTACAGTTGTCCCAATTTTTCCCCCTTTGCCCCCTCTACCCAGCTCCCACCCTGTTCCCTCAGGCAATTGCCATACCATTGCCCATGTCCATGGGTCATGCATACATGTTCTTTGGCTGCTCTATTTCCTATGCTGTATTTTTTACATTCCCATGACTGTTTTATAACTACAGATTAATAACAATTCTTCTTAACCCCTTCACCTTTTGCACCAATCCCCCCCGACTCCCTGACATCTAGCAACCTTGAAACGGTTGTCCATATCTATATTATTTTGTTTTTTAGATTCAATTGTTGATAGGTATGTATTTATTGCCATTTTATTGTTCATAGTGTTGATCTTCTTAAAGAAGACCCTTTAACATTCATGTAATACTGGTTTGGTGGTGATGAATTCCTTTAGCTTTTTCTTGTTTGGGAAGCTCTTTATCTGCCTTTGATTCTAAATGACAGCTTTGGTGGGTAGAGCAGTCTTGGTTGTAGGTCCTTGCTTTTCATCTCTTGGACTCTTACTTGCCAATCCCTTCTAGCCTGCAAACTTTCTTTTGAGAAATCAGCTGACAGTCTTATGGGAGCTGCCTTGTAGGTAACTAGCTGCTTTTCTCTCGCCAGTTTTAAGATTCTTACTTTGTCTTTAACCTTTGGCATTTTAATTATGATGTGTCTTGGCGTGGGCCTCTTTGAGTTCATCTTGTTAGGGACTCTCTGCACTTGATGTCTTTAATTAAGACATTAAACTGGATGGACTTGTATATCTATTGCCTTCACCAAGTTAGAGAAGTTTTCTGTCATTATTTCTTCAAATAGATTTCCCGTTTCTTGCTCTCTCTCTTCTCCTTCTGACGCCCCCATGATGTGAATGTTGGTGTACTTGATTATGCTATTGACCAGAGGGTCCTTACACTATCTTCATTTTTTTTTTGGATTCTTTTTTCTTCTTTCTGTTCTGATTGGTTGTTTTTTGCTTCCTTATATTCCAAATCACTAATCTGATTCTCAGCTTCATCCACTCTACTGTTGATTCCCTGTAGATTGTTCCTTATTTTAATTAGAGTGTCTTTTGTTTCTGACTGGATCTTTTTTATGCTGTTGCAGTCCTCACTAAGTTCCTTCAGCATCCTTATAGCCAGTGTTTTGAACTCTGCATCTAGTAGATTGCTGATCTCCGTTTTGTTTACTTCTTTTTCTGGAGCTTTGTTCTGTTCTTTCATGTGGGTGATGTTTCTTTGTCTCCTCATTTTGGCAGCCTCCTTGAGTTTGTTTCTATGTACTAGGTAGAGGTGCTGCATCTCCCAGGCTTGGGAGAGTGGTCTAATGTAGTAAGTGTCCTACAGGGTCCAGTGGCACAGCCTCCCCTACCACCCAAGCTGAGTACTCGAGATGCACCCACCATGTGGGCAGTGTACGTGCTCCTGTTATAGTTGAGCCTTGATTACTGTTGGCACATCTAAGGTCAGCCACCACCTGCGCTCTCTCTGGAGTCACACAGTAAAAGCTACAAAGTGATCTGCAGGTGGCTGCTACCAGTGCTGGGCTTGGAGGTGCCCAGGCAAGGCCAAGTTGTGAACCAAGGCTGGCAGCTGCTAGTGCTGGGCCTGGGGCAGCTTATCAAGAGGTATGGGGCTTGCTGAAGCCTGGTGCTGCTTGTTTGAGAGCATTTAGGAAAATCTGAAGCGTGGGTCAAGACAAACCATTTGTATAGAAAAGCCACCGGAAGCAGCTTGGGTGAGCCTGGAAGCTGGGTGGCAGGGCCTCAGGGCATCACTGGGGAGGAACAAACAGTGCGAGCCATGTTGCTGGAGTCTCAGATGTGGCACCCACCTGCCAGCTCTGTGGCTCGGTGGGGGTGGGGGTGGGGGAGGTTGGGCTTGGAAAAGGGACAATGTCCTCTGCTAGCACTTCTCTCTGGGAGAAACTCACCCCGATGCCGCACAATTTATTTCCTCCTCGTATGTCTGATGCTTTTCAATCTGTTGCCCCCACAGTGGAGCTCAGAGGGACTAAATCTGAGTAAGTTTGTGCACGGGCCCTTTAAGAACTGCCTGGGACTCCACTAGTTTCTGTCTCCCACAGCCTCAGTCCTCGCTGGCTTTTACAGCCAGAAGTTAATGACAACTTCTCTTCCTGGCACTGGATCCCTGGGCTGGGGGGGTCTGGGACCCCTTCCCCTCACTCCTGAGATCTCCTTCCTGATTTGTATTCAACACACCTGAGTGTGGGGCCAGCCTGTTCCACATCTCTGCCCCTCCTACCAGTCTTCATGTGGTTTCTTCTCTAATTCCGTAGTTGTAGGAGTTCCATTCAGCTTGATTTCTGATGGTTCTGAATGCTGGTTGTTCTACAGTTTAGTTGTAATTTTGATGTGGTTGTGTGAGGAGGCCAGCGGTGTTAACTATGCTGCCATCTTGACCAAAAGACCCGAAAGCACAATAAATATTTTAATGCAACTATATATTACAAAAGAAGTCCTTAAACGCAAAGAATACAAATCCCAAATTAATATTAAAGAATAAGATATTCATTGAGCTAAGTGCCCATTTTATTTTCCTGCTCCTCACATGACAGAATATCTAAATCCCTCTTCATTTAGAATACTGTCCTCTGGACACACCAAAAATTGTTCGGAGTCTATAGGAAATGTTTCAGAGGGTACTTAACCACCTCAGTTATTGGCTGGCTGCTGTTAGAATTCCCCATTAAAACACTGAAGTGGATGGCTGGTTGATCCGTGGAATCTCTAGGTAAACAGAGCATGTTTTAAGGCATTGTTCACTTTCCAGTGTTTAAAAGTAGTTTTCCTAGTGTAGTGTTGATGGAAGGGTGAGGGATCTGCATCCCCTGTACCTGTAGCCCTTCTATCCATGGGGAAATTTGTTCCTGTGGATAATCACAAGCAACTTGAGACTACCCAGGTTGGTGAACGAGCCCTGCCATCTCCTTCAGCTCCCAGTAGCCTGGCTGTGCTCCTCTGTTACAGGCTGTTTTCTGAGGAAAGAACTTGCTGCCAGCATCCAACCAATACATACAGTAGGCCACAGTTGCTATTACTACTGCAACTTTACATCTTTCTGCATTTCTTTCTTTTTTAACTGAGGTATAATTGACACAGAACAGCATATTATTTCATTCTGCATTTTTAAAGAGTATAGTTGACTCTTGGATACAAGTTTGAACAGCACAGGTCCATTAATATGCATTTTTTAAAATAAGTATGTACAGTACTATAAATGTATTATCTCTTCCTTATAATTTTCTTAACAACATTTTCTTTTCCCTAGTTTACTTTGTTGTAAAAATACAATATAAAATACATATAAAATGCAAACTATGTGTTAACTGACTGTTTCTGTTATCAGTAAGGCTCCTAGTCAACAATAGGCTATTAGTAATATTTTGCGGTAGTCAAAAGTTATGCATGGGAGGACTTCAGGCCAAGATGGAGGTATAGGTGGACACACTGTGCCTCCTCACACAACCAAAATTAAGGACAACAAAAATTTAGAAACAAAAAAACCAGAACAGACAGAGAACTGAACTGTACAGAAGTCTGACAACCATTCATCCAGACCGGTAAGAGGGGCAGAGTCGGCAGCCATCTGAGAGGGGTTGAGGCAGGAAAAAGCAGTGGCTGGCAGACCCGGGTGTGCAGGGCGCAGGCTGCAGTTGGCAGACCCCAGGTGTGCAGGTGGCAGCTAGCAGACCCCAGTGGCATACCCCGGGCGAGAAGAGGCAACAAGCAGACCCAGTGAGGACAGCAAGGCAGCTGGCTGTCCACAGTCACATTTGTGCACAGATAAACCAGGTGAAAATAGGCAGCGAGACAGACCTCTCATCCCAGAGACCCAGCACCGGGAAATAAAGCCTAAAAGCACCGATTGAAAACACTTGTGGGGGTTGAGGTGCCGGGAGAGACTCCCAGCCTCACAGCAGAGTTTGTTGGAGAGACCCACAGGGTCCTAGAACATGCATTAGCCCACCCGCCTGGGAACAAGCACCAGAAGGGCCCAATTTGCTTGTGGGAAGCAGCAGAGAGGACTGAAATCCAAGAGAAAGTGTAGTAAGTGCCATTGTTCCCTCTCAGATCCTGCCCCCACACACAGCTTCACAAGCCAGTGACTGCATTGCCCCGCCCTGGTGAACACCTAAGGCTCTGCCCCTCATACATAATAGGTGCGAGCAGACTCCACCCCCACCCCCAAAAAAAACCCTCAAATGGAAGAACAAATCAAAGCCCCAGAGCCAATACTTTTAAGTGACCAAGAGATAGCCAACCTATCAGATGCACAGTTCAAAGCACTGGTGATCAGGAAGCTGGCTGATCACAGAACTGGTTGATTTTTGTTGCAAATTAAATGAAAAAAATGAAGGCAACACTAAGTGAAATAAAGAAAAATGCACAGGGAACCAACAGTGATGGAAAGAAAACTGGGTCTCACATCAATGGAGTGGACCAAAGGAAGTAAAAAACATACAATCAGAAAAGAATGAAGAAATAAGAATTCAAAAAAACGAGGAGAGGCTTAGGAACCTCCAGGACATCTTTAAATGCTCCAACATCCAAATTATAGAGATACCAGAAGGAGAAGAAGAGCAACAAGTAGAAAAGTTATTTGAACAAATGATAAAGGAGAACTTCCCCAATTTGGCAAAGGAAACAGACTTCCAGGAAGTCCAGGAAGCTCAGAGAGTCCCAAAGAAGTTGGACCCAAGAAGGAACACACCAAGGCACATCATAATTACATTACCCAAGATTAAAATGAAGGAGAGAATCCTAGAAGTAGCAAGAGATAAGGGGACAGTCACCTACAAAGAAGTTCCCATCAGACTGTCAGCTGATTTCTCAAAAGAGACCTTACAGGCAAGAAGGGGCTGGAAAGAAGTATTCCACATCATGAAAGGCAAGGACCTGCATCTAAGATTGCTCTATCCAGCAAAGCTTTCATTTAGAATGGAAGGGCAGATTAAGTGCTTCCCAGAGAAGGTCAGATTAAAGGAGTTCATCATCACCAAGCCCTATTTTATGAAATGTTAAAGGGACTTATCTGACAAAAAGAAGATAAAAATATGACCAGTAAAAAGACAGGAAACTTGGTTATTAACAACCACACCTAAAACAAAAGCAAACTAAGCAAACAACTAGAACAGGAACAGAACCACAGAAATGGAATCACATGGAGGGTTAGCAACAGGGGAGTGGGAGGAGGAGAGAGGGGGGAAGGTACAGAATAAGTAGCATAGATGGTAGGAAGAAAATAGACAGGGGGAGGGCAAGAATAGAATGGGAATTGTAGAAGCTAAAGAACTTACGACACATGGATATGAACTAAAGGGGGGAATGTGGGTGGGGGAGGGTGTGCAGGGTGGAGAGGAGTGAAGGGGGGAAATGGGACAACTGTAATAGCATAATCAATAAAATATATATATTTTTAAAAAGTTATGTGTGGATTTTTTACTGTGGTGGGGGAGTCAGTACCCTTAACACACAAGTTGATCAAGGGTCAACTATATTTGTTATGTGAACAATATTGGTTAGAAAGAAAATTACAAGTATATAAGGATTGGTTTAAAAAAAATGTGAGACACCAGTGGATTCAGGTAACTGTATAGTTATCATTAAGACCCTATGGAGGAAGAGGCAAAATAAGGAAGAGGAAACCATAGACTATATGCTTGATACCAAACGCTAATACAACTGGGAATGCAAATGAGCAGAGGGTTCCAGTCAAATGGATTTTTGGCATGAACCACTGCCTGGTCACCCTGGCAACAGGGACATACACTTGTTTCTACCATCACCAGAAGAGCCAGAGGCAAAGGAAGTGAACAGTAACTGGGATGCAGCACCAGTTGTCTTGAATATTCATCCTGACAGTTATAGAAAGAACTGGGCCACTTGTGCAGCTCTAGGAAACTTCCAAAGAACTACAGTCAGGTGCCTGGCACCTCCATTACCCCATGTGTCACTGTGGGTTCCCATCTATACCTGGATGGTGTGGGAGGCATATGGGCTGGAGAAAGCATCCAGCTAGTGAATCTACAACATCAATGAGAACATGAGAGAATCAAGAAACTAATGTCTTGTATAAACCTCAACAGAAGATTTTGTTTATCCCCCTAGCATTTCAATATGTATGCTTGGGTCCAGCCTTCCATCCAGGTGGGATATTTCCTAAATGCTAGTGTTCATCTATCCTAGGAGTTTTACCCTTGAGTTCTGCTTCCACCCCCCACTCCTAATCTTCTGGTAATTCCTCTTGGCTAACACACATTCCTCTTCATGCTCTCTGGCCCTTTCCTCAAAGATGGAGCCTGACAGTCAACACTACCAGCCACCTGATACCTCCAATTCTGTAAACAGGTTCAACGACAATGGCCTTTGAGGAGCCAAGAACCAGCCTTACCTTGGTGCCTGGTTTGAGGTGCAGCTGAACCAGATTATCAGTCTCATAGTGGAAATCTGTAGGAAGAGTGGTAGCTCTCCAGGTCTGGTTCTCCAAAGTAGACTTGGTCAGAATAGTAGCAGCCTATTAATTTTTTTAAAAAGTGGGTTTTAGGCATCTTTAATAAAAATGATCAAACCCATTCTTCCTTAGAAGGACCTTGGGAAGGGTATAAGCAGCACTAGCCTGCCATCAGAGTCCTCATTTCTGTGTAAAACTCCAACTTGTTAACATTATTCATATTCTAAACTTTATTCTCTGTGCCATTGAATTTGGGACTATTTCTCAATTCCTCTACAAACTGAGGCAATAAAGCCATATGTTTAAGAGTTAAATTTATAATTAATTAAAGAAAAAACACATCTAAAAGTGAAAGAGCAGTGCAAAGAGTAATTTAAGAAAGCACAAATAATAACAATCCTGAACAAACCTTTGCTTTTCCAAAATACACATCAAAGTTGATGTCATCGTCAAAGTCAATTTCAAATTCTTTCTTTGTGCTCTTCTTTCTGTTCTCTGATTTCAAGGCAGCATCTTCTACATAAGTGGACACAGACAGCAACACTACTCACTTCTGGGTCCTACATTATTTCTGCATCTCACAAGACACACTACCAGTCTTAACAACCATACCATAAAGCACTAAGAAATACAAATCATATGCCTGATTTTCATTTGTTAAATTATAATTTGTAATTTTGCTAACAAAACACAATAAAAATACATGCAAATTAATCCCTCCTTTTCAAAGAGGGAATGAAAAACACAAGGTGCTGGTGTTAACCCCCTTCAGAGTCCTGCTTAGGGCCACCTCATGCAGTAACTTGAATGGGACCAGTGGTCATTCCATCCAACACCCATTGTGTGGAGCCATGTGGATACTAGAGGGTAGTACCAAGTTGGGAGCCCAGCTCTCCTTACTCTTCCACTCTGAGGCTTCAGTGTTAACTAAGCCCTCATCCCAGGCCAGGCCAACTGACTGTCCACTGGGAAGCTGGTTTGTTTATGTGCATTTGGAGCTGACCAGAAGGGTCAACAGGACAGCGGATGGCATTTCCCTTCCTCAGCTGACCTGCTGTCTACTGGTTGTCTACAGTACGCCATCTCTTTTCCTAAGAAACTCCACCTGGAAGTACATACGTTTCAGTCGGGGTCTGAAGCGCCAGTGCTCTGGTCCAGCCCACATCGACATGGTGCGTGGACTAAAATAGGAATATTCTCCAGGTTTCGTGGATAGAAGAGGGCACATGGTACTAATGTCTCCATCCCCAAGGGGAATCATTTCTTTCCTGTAACATACATGAAATAATGTTTTTACATGTACAATCATGTCCACATCGACATACACAACATAACTGTGTGTTTACATGGATGGGGGGAGGCTAAAAAAAACCCCTGGAATTTATTTATAAAAAATTGTGTATTTATTCTTACATGTTTAAACTTCAGTCACCTTCAAAGTACTCTCCATTTGATGCAATACACCTATTAAGATGTTTTTTCCACTGCTCAAAATAGATTTTGAACTATTAGTGCTTCTGCTGTTTTTTGTTTTACCTCTTCTACATCAACAAAACATTTTCCTTTGAAGACTTTTTCCATCCAGTGAAACAAAAGAAAGTTGCTGAGGGTGAGATCGGGCGAATAGGGAGGATGGGGCCTGGGGGTGGGAGGGATCATGCATTTTTTGGGTGAAAAACTGCTGAACACTCAGCTTGGTGTGGGCAGGTGTGCTCACAAATCACCCATCATGAATTGGTAAATGTGTTGAAAGAGTCTTCAAAAAAAAAAAAATTAACTGAAGCCAAGCACAGCCTCTCAACAATGCCAGCGGGTACACTGTTATGGATGGGTTCCTAGAACCCTCACCTAGCTGGGGAAGCCTGTACTATAAAAGACCACCCTCCAGAAGATAATTCTGGTTTTTGGGGGTCCCCCCTCTTGTAAAGCAGTATGTGATACAGTTGAAGGTTCTACCCACCTACCTTCCCACAAATAAGCAACATTTCCAAGTTAGTCCAATACAAATACTTCATCATTAACAACCCTGTACTTTTCACTTCATCAAAGCATTTTGCTTATCTTAATTTTATAACAATATGATTATATCTACACAACTACTTTGGATGTTCCAAAATGCTTCATAAAATACAAGTTTACCCATTTGAAAGACAAGAAAACTGAAGTAGAAGTTTTTATATAAGACCACATAGCTAGTAAGTTGCCAGGGCAGGGAGTTGACACAACCCCTCTCAGGGTCTTCCAACATACAGGCTTCTGCCACAAGCTAATAACCTTTCGCCCTTTTCTCATTTTCCTTCCATAAAGGGAAGTTCCAGTAACTCTACTGTAGTTCCTTCTAAAAGTGAAGATGTTATTCTAATTTATATCCCCCAAATGTTGGGGGGGGGTCCCCCTTACAATCTAACTCCTAACCTGGTTTGCTTTAGCTGCATTCTTTGCTGTAGGTGAAGTGTCTAACTGTCCAGTCCAGCATGGCAGTTTTGGTTTGATTTTTTACCCTTTTTGCAAATTACTATGAGGTGGCTTTCTCCTAAAGGCCTCTGATGCATCAGCAAGTGTGTGAGTACTGCTCTACTGCCCTGTAGGAAAGGTTAACAAGGGAACTTCAGAAGGCTTTTTACCTGTAATGAGCCATAAGTATAAATCCCCTTTATACCAAGCATTATGGAAAAAGCTAAAAAAGTTTTAAAAGGGGACTTTGCCTTTATCTATATAATCTTTTTTTAAAAACCTAGGAAATTATATTATTATATTTATTGTGTAATTAAACATTAATTTTAAAGATTAAAATGTACTAAAAAAATTCACACTTTTAGTTTGCAGAATGCCTAGACTATGTTATTAAGTAACAACTGTATGCACTGTGAAAACCAGAGGGAGAAAGATGGCTTCAGCAGCATCCCCACGCAATTATCACGGATATTCTTCTGTTAAAGCTTTGGTGGCTATGAGGGGAATCATTAGGAACTGATAGGCAAAGCTGTAAAGAGCTTGGCTCCCATGCCCTGAGTCTGTAGGCCAGGGCTGAACTGAGGCCCTGGAAGCTTTAACCCTAGCCATTTAATAATTCTTAGAATACACAGTGCTATGGCAGGCACCCTACTCGACCCCACTCAACAGCTCATCTAACCACAGCCTACCTTTTTCAAGGCTTGCCCCTCCACTGAACATCTCTAATACTCTGAAGGAAGGAAAATATTCTATTTCTTCTACCTGCCACTCTCCCTGCCCCCGCCACCCCCCACCTTTTAGTTTAGCATGGGTTCAGTCACTGATACCTTCTGGTTAAAGGTCATTTAGCTCCTAGCACCCATTTAGCTCCTAGCACACATCCCACATGCAGAATGTCTACTCTTGCATGCACAGGGCAGACCATGGTCTGGGCCTGGACCTACGACAGCAAGCACCTCACAAAATCACACTACAGGGACCAGGAAGGGGGAGCACACCCACCTGCTCCTGGACATTGAGCACTTTCTCAGCTGTGTTCTTGTTAACATACACACATGGAACTCTACTTTTTACACTGTGCACAGCTGTCAGTGTTGCCATCCAGGTACAGATAGCATGGGCATCCTATATACACGTGGATTTATAACACAGCATCACCTCCACCTCACCCTGAAGGCCTTTCAGGATGGCCCAGGGTTTTCAATCCTGATGCACAGGATGGTCACCTAGGGAGATCTGGGGAAATGGTACATGGCTGGCCTCACAGACTCCAGTTTAAGAGCTCTGGGTAGAGGCTGCCATACGTAATTCATTAAGTGCAGCCAAGACTACTTAACCCCTCTAAGCCTGCTTCCACATCTGTATAATGGGGCAAACAGGAGCTAATTATAGGATTGTTGTGAGTTTTAAGTGATTTAATTTTATATATAAATTATCTGAAATAATGCAGGTAAGGCCCCTAGCATAGGATCTGGCACAAAGCCAGGACAATGAGGAGCTCAATAAATACCAACTGTTACTATATTCATCTAGTCCCAACCCTTCGAGAAAATGAAGATTCCAAAAGGTGATGCCAGTTGCCTCTCATCTCATGGCTTCTATGGCAGGGCCAGGTCCAGATCAGTTCAAACAGGCCAGCACCACGTGAAGGGTAGGGACTTCGAGATAGACAAAACCTTAAGTAGAACCTAGGCCCCTGCCCCTAAAGCACTCACTAGGATGGATTCTTAGGTTTTGTTCTGTCTGGAGCTAGGCAGAAAAATGGGGACAATTGTTCAAAATAAGCATCTCCTTGGCTGGTGTGGCTCAGTGGATTGTGTGCCAGCCTGTGAACCACAAGGTCACTGGTTTGATTCCCAGTCTGGGCACATGCCTGGGTTGCAGGACAGGTCCCCAATGGGAGGTATGGGAGAGGCAACCACACATTGATATTTCTCTGTTTTCCCCTCCTTTCCCTTCTCTAAAACTAGATAAATAGAATCTTTAAAAAACAAACAAAAAAACCCAAAATAAGCATCTAAGGGCCTAACAAAACAAGAGAATGGAAATGACTTTGCTACCATCAGCTCCTCAGATGCCACCTCATTACGTAGGAAGAGTGGCAGCTCTTCTCTGACATTTGAAAATGTCCCATTAAGTTGCCTGCCATATCTCTCACTTCTTAGAAGACAGGATGGGAATAGTTGTCAAATCACTGGTCAACAACAAAAATCAGGCAAGGAGGGTGCTAAAGAGCCAGGTGGTAACTTTGCCTCGAGGTGCCAAACATTCAGCTCTTTGATGTCCACTCTGATCTGAACACACATTAATCAAGCAAATCATTTTCTACATGGGCAGATAAACTGAGCTCAAGAAAGCAGTCTTTTACCCTGGAGACATTAAAGCAATGCTCTTGAACAGATTCTTGACTCAGTGGGAAATTATACTGGATGACTTCTAAGGTTTTACCCATACTCACCAAGCTTAATTGTCCCTAGTCCCAGAGTTGCAAAGCTGCTCTTTTAAGCATAGGCATCATCAGAAAGCTTGTTCTATACCCAGGCCCATTAAAGACCTTTAGGGGCCCTCGGCACTGTAGGATTATGGGATCCTGATTCCAAATCATATTCAAAATTAAAATAATACTAATTTGTTGAGTACATATAATAAAAGCCAACAAAGTTCTGATTTTCTTAGGTTACTAAAGTAATAAAACATTTAAATTACTACAGACCAATTTTACCATCTCTTTTCCTGCCCCATATGCTCAATGTTATCTGCCTATTGAGTTTCCTCTGCTCTGCTTGTCCTTGGTAATCCAACACCGCCTAGTCCAACTCTGCCTGACTCTTCAGGCGGGGCCACATTTTTTCTATAAACAACACATCAGCCTGTTTCCATCTATAACAATAGGGAGCAATTTAGTCAAAAGCTGGACCAGGTGTAGTGTGCAGAAAGGGAGCGCCCTCCATGCTACCAAAAGCCATCACTGAAATAGCTACGATATCCCAGCTACTTTTTACCAGCACTTTACCTATTTTAGTTCTATCCTTACAAAATGCTACAATGTCAGTATTATAACCAGTAAGTGGCTGAGCTGACATTCAAAGGCAGATATGAATCCATCATGAGCCAGATGACTCCACCTGTGTGGACAACACAGCACAGCAGCCCAGTAATCAGAGATGGAATGAGACTGTCCAGCAGGAAGTCTGAGGAAACACCCATGGGAACATGTTTTGTGATCTTTAGAACCTTACTGGCAGCTCTGACTGTGGCAGGGCTCCCTCCAGCTCCTGAACTCTGCCTGATCCTCACAAATGGTGTGGTCCAGTTCGTCGTTGGCATCAAAGTCGTCCTCCAGAGGCCCACTGGGGAAGTTCCCACCATCACTGTCCTCTTCCTCGGCATTGATGTCAAATACCTGATCATTCTTCTTGAACTTGTCCACCAGGGCTGACACAGACTAGGAGGACAAAGAGAGGGTTCTCCTCATTCCTGTGACCACCACGGTCACTGCTGGAGGAACAGTCTTAATAGATATATGCCTCCTTCCCCTCCCCAGAGCCAATGTTCTCATGACAGAAAAGTGCAGAGGAAATTTACACTGTGCAGCACAGATGGAGCTATACTGTCACTGGGTACATTTTTTAAAACATGAAACAGGAATCTGCATTATTAGCTACTTGTTTAGAGAAGAGTTGTCCATGGAAATCATTTATTTTAGAAGTTGTAGTAAGTAGGCTAAAGAGGCTAAGCTAAAAATACATAGAGGAAGCTCTACACATGACAGTTTCTCAGGAAACTCTGTGCCAAGGGACTTAATCTCAAAAAGCAGGAAATTCCTCAAGCTTGACAGCAGCCCTAGAGACCAATAGCCAGTGGGATAACCATGTTCAAGAGTAAATCTGATAAAAACGTGCACCCAGGAGTGGCATGGCTGCCTCACCCGAGGGGAGTACAAAGCTGGTCCCAGAATTTACCCACCTGTCCACTGGTCCTGCCAGAGCTCACAACCCCACTCCTACTCCACCCTGCACCCACAGGTCTTAATCCCTATAAAAGTGCCAAAGGAAATGTTTTCTGTACTCATGGCTAAATAAAAATGATGCCACAGTTTTGGTTCTCACTGGGCAGAATTAATCTCAGACCATCTCACTGAAACCACAAAGTGCTGGAGAAACACCCTGAGCCCTGAAAAGTCCAAATACTGACCATACCTCATTGTGTGTTTCACTGTCCCATTTAGTGAATTGGAACCCAGCCAGGGAAGGGCAGATCTGGCGGTCTTCTGCACACTGCTGCAAGAGTGCTGGAGAGGACAGGCAGAGCAGAAGGTCAGAGGTGATCAGAGCATGCTCCTCACCCCTAGAAGAACCACAGCAGCATGATGGCAAGGGATGCACTGCCGCCTCAGTTCTCAGGCAGAGAGACTGAGCATTCCACATGGGCATTTCAACAATTAGTGAAACACTTGAACAGAAACCTAAAGCACACACATGTGACTCTGACACAGACTCTGTGCCCTTCACCATAGTCAGGAAATCAAAAATCCTCCCTTAAAGTGTGCAAAGTGCATGGCAGCTCATAGATTATTATTTTGGTTCTAACTACAGATTACATGCCTCATGGGATTAGAGCCCTAGATGAGCACATAAACTTGGAAAACAGGTTGTTAGTACAAAATATTTTTTCTTAGTAAATTTAAGAGAATACTAAAAGAGGAGAAGGCACTGTAACTTGTGCTAGCCCTGAAGGGGAAGGGTCAATTTCATGGGACACACAGAAATGATGACATACAAGGACAACTCTCGCATCCTTGTTCCTGGCCTTCCCCCCTACCTGTGACTATCACAACAGCCTGAGATGATCCCCCCACTGGGGGGCATGGAAAGGCTGGAAAGAGGGTTAAAATCCTTGCCAAGCCAGCATAAGAGGCTGACAACAGGATAGGTCTGTTCTCAGACCACCACAGAAGCATCTGTGAATAGATCACAATACCCACATCTCTGCAGGTCCCCCTGAATTGGTAACAAATAAGGACAAGGCCTCCTCACTTGACCAGTGTCTCAGAGTTACTTTCCTAAGCCCAAACTCTGACACTCCAGGTTAGCTGTGGGCTCTATTAGGTGACGATGAGAACTGGCTGCTAATGGGTTCACCTGAGGAACAGACACATACAGACCAGGACATACCAGGACAGACTATGCACATACATGTAGCAGGGGAGTGCTACATGTTGCAGAGAACTGGGAAAGTCAGTTTTGCCCAAGAGTATGCCCAATTCGGCACTCTGGAGGAACATTCTGGGTAATTTAAATATACAACATAAGAGCGAGATGCACTCTCTATACCCTACAGTTATAAGAAACATCTCTAATGATTAGCATGCTCTGGTGAAACGCATTGTGTGTATTTACCTTTTAAATCTGTCATTTCTACACAACCTAAATCTGGCATTTCAGGAGGTCCTCCACTGGAGAGGGTCTGGACATCAGAAGGAAAAAGCAGCTCGCTTCTATAGTCATGACAGTGGAGGGTGGAGAGGAATACCCCTGCTGTGCTGCACTCATCAAACGAGGCTGCTGTCTTCTGAAACAGGGGATCAATCTGAGCACAAGCACAGAGAACTCAAGGTTATGGAATGAAGCCAAATACCAAATATCAAAGGAAATACCAAATCCATTCACTGAGTCTGCTCATCACAGCTGCACACACTGGAAAAAATGTCCCTGCACATAATCAAAAGGGGAGAGGGCTTTCTAACTGATTGGATAAAAAGCCCATCACAGCAGATACTAGTTCAAAAGAAAGGTTGTATATAGTCAGATGAATAAAGTGATACCACTCAAGTACACAGCACATGATCACAAGCTTGCAACATGTCCGTGTCCATCTGTTTTTGTTGAAACCTGAACAGTAACCTTCTGTTGGTCTCTTTCCATAAACCACCATTTCTAAATGGCTATCTCTAGTGGAATGCTATCAACAAATTCTACTGACTTAACCAGATCCCACTATTCCTCAGACCAGAAATATTATCAACAGTTTGGAAAAATGCAACCAAGAGATCCAGGTAAGGAACAGGCAGAGTAAGCTGGCTTAGATGGCTGGATAAAGCAGGGAGAGGGGGTAAGAAGGCTCCCAGACTGGGTCAAAGAACAAGAGTGGCACAGCCATGTGACACCAAGTCCCAAGGCAGAACAGGGCCAGGGCATAAGAATGGGGCCAGGGCAAAACATATACATGTGCAGCAAGAGGGTAGAAGTCAGCTGGGACTGTACAGGTGACCCTGCGAGAGGAATAGGTTGGGTACTGGGTTCATGGGTCTTCCTGACTCAGGACATGGCTACTATGGGGAGAGAGGCTTTTTCTTGGCTCCCTAAGCTCTGAGCCTGACCTTATCAGAACTGCGAGTTTCCTCTCAACTTCCTGACAAACCATCTCACCAGCCCCAGAGTAGCACACATGTTCCTCCATGTTGTCCCTGTCACCTCACCCAGTTAGGCACATGGTTCAGTGGGTTTTCCTCCCAGTACATCTCTACCACCTATCCCTTCCTTCCCACTCCCACTGCTACCAGCACAGTCCTTGCCTAAGTTAACCTTGTCTCTGGTCTCTCCCATTTCCCATCCCACAAATACCAATGTTGTTACTCCATTCCCTCCCACAGATGCTAACCACAGCAATGGTTCCCACCAGCATCCTAAACCCTCAGAGGGCTATCTAGGAAATTAAACTCAGCATTTCAAAGAGTCAACACAGAAGCTGTACAACCCACATTAAAACTGAAAACACTAAGATAATTTTTCTTACTTCTGTCTAGAATCATATCATGCCAGTGTGAGAACAATGGTTCTTTCATATACATTAGATCTGATTGATGTCTTTGAGTAATTTTATGGGGAAATGAATGACTGTTGGCAGCATAGTTTGAGAAGAAGAACCCTTTGAAATGAGAGTCCATAGCAAAGAAGAGAACAGTAAAGAAGGCCTTGGCAGGCAGCAGAGTCCATGGTAAGATCTAGGGCTGTTTCAGCCTCATGAGGAAGGCCTCAGTCCCAGCCCAACTTGTATATGGCCCAGCTCCCTAGAGAACCAACACTTTCGTGTTTCGTGGCTTGTGCTTATGCTTCTGCCTAGAATCACCTTCCTGGCCATGTCCACCTGTCAAAGACCCACCCTTCCTTTCAAGGGCCAGTTTACAATCCACCTCTTCTATAAGCTGAACACACTGTAGAAAGCTGTGTCTAAAATAGGTGAGCTCACACGGAAGTAGTGTTCTCAGCAGGCTAGACACACCGACAGAACACCTGCTCTTTAATCTCCATACCACCTCCAAGACTGACTTCAATAAAGAATTGAAACTTCAAATTCTACGTTTATAATTATCCCCCCTCTTTTCCATCATCTGTACTTTTGGGTGTTACAAGTTTAACAGAGCACAGAGCAAACAAAGCTCTCTGGGACTGGGGTACCTGGTGTTTCTTCATGACTGTTGATTTCACTTGGCATAAATATACCACAGCCCAATAGCCACAGGCTTAGAGGGGGCAGTGCTGCCAGCTCTCCTGCTTTTCTTTATAACAATGAGAGAGGCTACTACAAGCCTCCTTGGGCTCCCCCAAAGCGGGCCCAACCAGGTAAGGAAAAAGATGATTGGAAAACAGAATTTCCAACCATACTGTTGACTAGAACATTCTACTGTAGAAAGTGAGAATGATAGTGAAATAAATATTCAGATTATCGGAGAAGGAAAAAATAAGAACTTGGGAAGGGAAAGGAAGGTAGGAGAGGATTTCATGGCTCCCCTTCGGATGTGTATAGCATATTACATGGACAAAACACTTTGCCATCAACTGATTTACTAGCATGAAACCTTTGTGTGGGTGGCTTCAGTGTTGCCTACTTTCACAGTTTAACAAAGTGAGATTCAGAACCTTCTCCCAGGCCACACAACTGAGACAGTGGAAGCAGGATCTGAACTTCATATCATCTGCCTCCAAATCCAGTGCCAGCCAAGGTTAATACTGACACAGAAATGAAGGAGATGAAGGAAAACGGCTCCCTCCCTCAAAGTACCTGCCGCCTCCCCCCCACCTCTCCCCTCCCTGTCCATCCACATGCAATCCTCACAGCAACACGGACTGACGCCACTGGGTGGACCAGAGTAGAAATGGCACATCAAAGCGAACTTAGCCTCGTCCGTCCATTCAGCTTCACCAGTACCATTTGCTGTGAGACCACTGGGACTAATTGCATTGCTGCCCTTTATTTATTTTTCACACATAAAAGACCCAAGACCCCCAGGACTGTATATGTGCCAGGCTATGCACACTTCTGACGTGCCCTTTGGATCCCATCTCCTTTCTAAAAGCTGATATTTTCCCCCAGGGCCCTCTATTCAATCGTCAGCAAAATTCCCTCTAGTCTCCACTTCTTCCCTGAGGGTCTTGCCACCTACTTGCTCTAACTCATTTATTCCCAGTGGGAATGTTATCACTCTCAAGGGGGTAAAAACTGGTTCCTTGCCCTGGCTGGAGTAGCTCAGTGGATTGAGCGCAGGCTGTGAACCATAGTGTGGCAGGTTCAATTCCCAGTCAGAGTACATGCCTGGGTTGCAGGCCATGACCCCCAGCAACCGCACATTGATGTTTCTCTCTCTCTCTCTTTCTCTCTCCCTTCCCTCTCTAAAAATAAATAAATAAAATCTTAAAAAAAAAAAGCAATCCCAAATTGTTAAAAAAACAACAAAAAACTGGTTCCTGGGAAAGGGTGAAAAAAGCCTTAGCAAGTCTAATTATTTACGGTTATCCAAACCTCATACCTACCTGACAAATCCTATTCCTTAATAATTCATTTCAAAGGGAAGGATATATCTAAAAAGACTCTGAAGGGTGGGAGACAACGACGAAAGGCTGACTACCACTCTAAATGGATGACTACCACCCAAAGACACTGCTTGCCCTGCAGGCCTCTCCAACATGGCTACTTCCTTTCCCACCACCCTCAAACCACTGTCCAAGAAAGGATTGGTGATCTTTGCTCCTCATTGCAGCTTCCAGACTATTCTTCCCAGTTTCTAAAACCCTCAGCTTTGAACATAACATCAGGCTTTATCACACTCTGCCCATCTGTGTTATAATCACCTTCTATAATCCCTAGGCCTACCCCAGTCTTGGGAGATGTTAATATTAGCTTCTTGGCTCATTACTCTCCTCAAACTTTACTACTGTCATAGTTTTTGATGATTTCAATATCCATATGTTGATTTATCCAACATTCTAGCCTCAGTTCTGTGATATTCTCCTGCTTCAATGGTCTTGAGCTTCATCTTAAGACCCTAAGACTCAAGAGATCCTAGTATGACCACCATATCTCCTCTGCTTTTTGCTCTGAACTGAATCATTAACCATGACTATGACTGTTCCATACCCTTAATTCTAAGTGCCTCCCTCTGACAACTACCTCACACCTTTACAGACTACAATCTTGGTGTCTCTAATACCAACGAGTCTCTGACTCCACCAGACCCCTCATACACTGATTGAATGACTTTATGCTACCCGTCACTGCCTTCTTTCCCAGCTAAAATGCAATAAGCAATGATTATGACCATTCCTGTGCACTTGCTCTTAACTCCAGCCTCTGTGTCACATTCACTCAGCTAAATGCAACCCTTTGTTAAATCCAACGTTCTGACTATTCCATGCTTCCATCCATACCATTGCTAACAGAGAAGAAACAAAATCATGTCAAGTGACCTTACTTCAAATCCATCAAATGGCCCCCAAGTATTGTCTAGCAAGCAATCTTTTCCTGCTCCATTTTTTCTCCTGCCCACTAGATGGCTCTTTACTATCTTTTTCTTGCCTCAAACCTCTACCACTTTGTTCTTCCATACTCTCTGTGTCAACTGATTATCTGGCTTCCTATTTCTTTGTGGGGGCACCATGCAACCAGAAGAGAATGTTTAGAATGGAAGCATGTACCCAGCTTCCATCAGCATGGGACTCCTCAGCCCAGCCCCATCTATGTTGTCCATTCCCTTCCCTCCTCACATGCTTAAGAACGCCATGCTAGCAATTTCCCCATTCTTTTCTGCATTGTCAACAATTCCTTCTCCACTGGACTGTTATCATCAACACGCAAACATGCTGTTTATTTTCCCATTTAAAATAATAGAAAACTTTGCCCTGACTGATGTAGCTTAGCTGGTTGGGCATCGTCCCACAAACCGAAAGGTCACCAATTCAATTAACAGTCAGGGCACATGCCTGGGTTGTGGGCCAGGTCCCCAGTTGGGAGCAGGCAAGAGGTAGCTGATCGACATTTCTCTTGCACATCTATGGTTCTCTCCCCCTCTTTCTCCCTCCCTTCCCTTCTCTCTAAAAATAAATAAATAGAATGTTAAAAAAAAAAGAAAGAAAACCTTCTAGACTTTACTTTCCCCTTCATTTGCCAACCCACTACTCTGCTCCAATTCAAAGCAAAATTCTTTAAAACAACAGTCTATACTCAATTTCTTCCCTTTTGTTTTTCCCCATTTATTATGAAAAATTTTAAGCCTACAAGAATGCTGAAAAACCCCATGAAACTCCATGTAACTTTGCCTGGATTTCCCAATGGGTAGGTAACACTTTCATATTTTCTGTCTCTAACCACTCCCATCCCGAACAGAATTTTTGAAACTAGAAATCACAACACTTTACCTTTCTACCAGTTATCTCAACTTCAAAACCTACCTTCTAGCCTCTGTCTGTGATGCTTGGGCCACATTTTAGCTTTGCCAGCAGTTCGATGTTGGGATCCACTAACTGGGGACACTAGAGGAAGATTGCAGGGCTAGAATGACAAAGGACTTGCTTCTTTCTGTTGGTTTCCTATTTCTGTTAAGTGTCACCCAGCAGTGCTTCCTCATCCCAGATATGATAGGTCCCACCTGTAGCAGTAGCTGCATTCAATTTGTACTTTTTCGCACTCACAGAATCAGCCTCACCATGTGCCCCTCAGAGACACCATACCAATCAGCATGCTCTCTGGGTCTTTGGCCCATGAGTCCCTCTTCCAAATTCAGGGACCCTAGCATAGTCAAGCATCACCATCTCCTTGGAGGTATAAGCTTCAGCTCCACAGGGCCCCCTCCAATTCACCAGTAGCTGCAGGTTGCCACATCTGACGTGGCTCATCACTCCCTCCTCCCTAAAACTCTTTCACTCCCACATTTGGATACTACACTCTCCTGACTTTCACCATACCTACTAGATGTTTTCTTCTTCAGCTTTCTGAATGCAAGACTGGGGCATTACAGGACTCAGTCCTTCTCCAACATCCCCTTGGTGATCAAGTCCAGTGTTATAACCTTAATTATCATTTACAAATGTCATAGGGATAAGACAGAGAAGTACTCTAGCCCATTGTTGGTGGGAGAATAAACTGGTACAACCTTTTTTTGAGGGCAGTGGAAATTTTCTCTAAGAAGTTTCTTACAGATATACTCCCAGAGAGTGCAAAGATGATATATACAAAAATGTTTGTGGAAATATTATTTTTAATAGCAAAATTCTTTTAAAAATTTTGTGGCAACACCTGCTTGCTTCAAATTAACTGTGATAATTATAAATGAAGCCTCCACTGCCATCCCTTTAAGCAGATTCCTTAGGATTTGCCAGATTATATTGGCTGCTCAGCACAAGGAATCCAGAGCAGACCAGTAAATTTCACATCTAGCCTTATTGACTAGCTGTGTCATCTTGGGCAAGTTACTTAACAGTCCTACACCTCAATCATCTCTTCATAAAATGTAACAAGGATGTTGTAAGGATTAAACCAGTTAACACTGGTCACAGGCTCAGGGCAGCACAGTGTACCCAGCAGGTACACAATAAATGTTCGCTGTCACCATCACTGCTGCATGTACTAGGAAAGAAAATAAATGTTTGAATCAGATTTCTTAGTAATTTGCCATCTTCTTCTTTTCAGTCACTCTGAAACATTCAGGGAAAGCAGGGACTTGCCTCCTTCAGTCTTCACTGCAAGGCTAAAGGATGATACTGAAGAGACCAGTTGAATATTTTACCTCCTTGAGGCCTAAGCAAGCACAAACCAGCAAGGCAGGCTCACCCCCCAGGTCTTGAATGAGTCAGAGACCACACTGTGTTCACGGCTCCTTACCTCACACTTCCGATCTGCCTCAGAGACGTTGAGGTTGCTTATATTCTGCTCAATGGTTTTGTGTGAGTGCTTCTTCTTGGGCTTTGGAGCCTTTTTAGTTGTTCCTGTTTCAGTCGCACTTCCATCTAAAGAAGAAATAAGACCAAGTATTGTAAGGACTGCTTTGGAGGGTCCAATTGAACTACAAGTTCCTCAAAACTCTAGAGTGGTTGTGACTTAAACACATGCCATTTTCTCACAGCAACAGGCATGTCTGATCTACAGCTGAGGAAGGAACTAAACTACTCAATTAAGTTTCTAAGACAGGTGAATGTCCAAACACCCCCAAATCAGAAGTTCCCTAATTGGTGATGTTTACTCAATCTAGCCTAAATAAAATCTAAACGCTTCTCGTAGACAAATCTGAGAATCTCCATGTCTTCTCCAGATGAGAACATTGATTTCTTGTGACTTCATTCCAGTATATTATTCAAATAACAATCTGCTACACCCTTAAAAAAGCCCTTACCTTAATCCAGATCCCCACCCATGTACCTGCATCATGGCTTTCTGACTCTTCCAGAGATGGTGCATCTTTGCCCAGCCCTCCAAGAACTCTGTACACATCAGCATGGACAGCATCCACACGCACAGCATAGATCTTGGTGCTGGCATCCAGAGTGCCTGCAGCCACCTAGTGAGACAATCTGGACTGTATTTGTGCAAGTACAACATAAGAAGGAACTGCTGAACAGGCAAAACACAGCAAGCTTCATAAAATATTTACTTGCCCTTATGAAAAATATGACAAAGATCCCTTAAGACTGACAGGGATTAGACAGATCATAAGAGAAATTTAGCTTCTCTACATTTCATCAGTTTAGGAAAGAAGGTAAAGTAGTTAATAAAATATCTTAAATAAGGAAGGCGCTCATGTATTTGTAGAATTCAACAACTGTGCCATGCTAAGTATCAGACATACTCATCATGAATTCAGATACAAGAGAAGGTGGACATCCTTACTTTAAAGTTGGTCAGTTCAGTGTCTTTCTGTTTAAGAATCTCTGACATGAAATCAATCAAGTGCAAGCCAAAAGCATTCTTGGTAGTGATTTTCTGGAAAGAGAACATTGCAGAAAGGTTTGTTTTTTTATAGCCCAGGCTCGCATAAATGATGCTACCCTGAGAGGTAGCCAAGTTTATTAACAGCAATATTCCACATATCATCACAGATATCAATTTCCACAAATAGTTTGGGACATAGCTAAATCCATATGTGTCACTCCTCATTCTCAAGGCCTAGAGAGTAACAGCACACGGTTCCTGAGTGCTCGCTGTATACAGACCCCATTCTAAACACTGTCCCCAAAGGGACCCCATCACCCTCAGAACAACTCTATGAGGTAGGCACTACTCTTATTCTACAGAGAACCTTGCAGCAAATGGTTGGGTGACTTGCCAAGGCCACACAGGATTTAAGTGGCAAAGACAGGATTCCTACTCAAGTGGGCTCTAAAACTCACAATTAGCTCCACAACTCTACTATTTCTCTACTCTCTGCTCCAGAACTTACACTGTTATCCCCTAAGCCATGCTGACATACTGCAGATGGCAGGCAACCTGTCAGGAGCACCAAAGCTCTGTAAGAAACAGTAAAACCATACCAGAAACGCCAACATTAAGAAGAGTCACTGGAGAATAAAAGTACACAGATATTATGGATCATGCATTCTCTACAGAATCAAGAAGGCTAAATTTCCCCAGGGCTCAAGTTGCAGACTCTTTGCTGATAAACCAGCAGATACTCACATTTTCAGTGGATAGTTTGATACAGGTGGAATAATGCTCTGTAATCTGTGTGTTTGTAAATTTCGGAATTGTAGCTGAAAAGTCAATATTCCTAAATGAAAAACAAAAATTAAAAACTCTGGCAAGGATCCATGACACTATAACTTTTCAAAATCAAGACCCAGAATCCCTGAGGTAGTGTGGAGATGCCAGACCCATGTACCCCACATCAGGTTGGTGGCCACCCCAGGAGGCAGCACAGAACACACTCACCGACTGGAGGGGGAGGCCAGCAGACGGGGTGAGTCTGTGCTAAACTGCAGGTCAAAAGCCCGGGATCGCCTCCTCTGCAGACGCTCCTTTTCATCATCATTCTGAGGGAAGTCTTCAAGAACCGGGGTGCCAGGAGTGTTGAGAGGGGCCTTCTTAGGTGGAGGAATTGAGAACACTCGTTTTGATGGTGAGGCACTGAGAGGGTGTCCACGGGTTTCTAAAGAAGAGTGATTCATTGTGGCTCACAGTGATGGAACAATATACTTGCTCAAGAACCTTTAAAAGAAAGTTTCCTAGATCTAAAGTGGGCTCAGGGCCTGTCACAAAGTGGGAGTTCACTGCATGTTTCCCACCAAGATCCCTGACAACTCTAAGAGTCTATGGCTAAGACCTCTATAGTTGGGGTTTCTTGGCAGGGTGGGTTGTGGGGGGAGCAGTGATGGCCTTCTGATGCTCCCTTGCCCATCTGGGACAAATATCCACTATGTGAACCTGTAGCACTATTGGGAAATGAAGGTGTGTAAGAGGAAGTGTCTGCCTCTGATAAGCTCACAAACTAACAGAAAAACAGACACATATAACCATAGTCTGGGGCAAGAGACAGATACTGACATAAGGGTGAGGTATGGGCCATTAAATTGGATAGGTTAGGTTCTAAACCCAGCAGGACACAGAAAATAAACAACACAAATGTGTAAGATAAATATAACATGCCAAAAGAATCACCCACAGATTACTTGCTAACTGCAAAGGGAAAAGTGGTTTTTACAACAAAAGATCTAGCAGTCACCATGTTGACCAAGCAATCAATGTAGCCTCTTTAAAAGTGAGACTTGAAACTGACTTGATCCTGAGACTTGATCCTGGTAGGACAAAACATGAAACTCACAACATCACCCATAAAATATTTTTGCCAAAGATGGGTAACCTAAATTTAACTAAGATTTTAGATCTAACTTCCATTTTATAAGAAATACAGGGGTAGAGAAACAAGTTAAATGGTATCAGAAGGAAATATTTAGACAATCCAGAATGTGGGCCCTGACCAGTGTGGTTCAGTTGGTTAGGCATCATTGTACAAAGAAAAAGGTTGATGTTTTGATTCCTGGCCAGGGCACATGCCTGGGTTGCAGGGGTGTGTAAGAGGCAACCAACAGATGTTTCTCTCCCTCTCTTTCTCCCTCCCTTCCCCTCTCTCTAACAATAAATAATTTTTAAAAGTATCCTTAATCACAACTACAAAGTTCTTTTACATGTAAGATAACACATTCAGAGGTTACAGATATTTTTTGGGGAGGGGGGTATTATTCATAGGGATCATGCAGAAGCTTTTCAAGGGTAAAAGGTGCTGAACAATGTACTCAAGCAGGTCAAAGGGTTCCTTTGCTGAGAACACACAGGGCCCATTCCACAGCAACAGGAGGGCAGCGAGCACACACACAGCTGCAGGCAGGGGAGCAGGTGCAATGGTGGACTTCGGATGTTCTCTTTATTGCTATTCTTTTCTTACAAGAATAGGAAGTGAGTGAAAAACCAAAAACTCTACAACTAAGCGTGAGAGATGAGGAGATTTAAGGAGAAAAAGTTACCTAATGAAATAGTTACCTAAGAGGGAAGTTGGTGAATCAAGGAATATAGCATAACTGCTAAACAGCTTTAGGGTCCCCTTGACCATCAGGAGCACGGGGCTGAGTACAAAAAGTTAGAATTAACTAAGGTTGTGATTTAGTCAAGCAAGTGTAAGGATGCAAGAAGAGGGCAAGGGGTTGTGGGCGTATGAAAGGGAGTGATTACATTGACTGACCATGGAATGTAACTTAAAGAAGGAGGGGAACAAGGTCATGAGAGCAGTAAAGGACAGTGAAAAGAATATTGGGTCTGCTGGGCCAAAAGATTATTGAAGTCAGGGAATAATGGGGAGTGATTTGGAAAGATAGGAGTGGTATTGAGAAATGAGGGTCTTAAAATTAAGATGGCAGAGTGGTACAACTATTGATAACGACAAGATCTAGAGTGTGACTACAGTAATGAGTGCTGTGGCCTATTATGGTTGGGAGAAACAAGATCACTGGAAGAGACAGATGAGAAAACTGAGAGACCTTAGGGAACATTTGCAGAATTAAGAATTGGAAGGCTTGTCTTCAAACCCCAACTCCATCACGTAGTAGCTGGTGAAATTTTAAGGAAGTATATGACCTAAGCATTTGCATCTTATTCTCTTCCAAATAAGAACAAGAATGTGTATCTCAGATGGTTCAGAATTCATGATGTCAAAAAATAGAGGCATAATGTAACACATTTTATAGGAACACATTAAAAATAGTGATGCAAAATAAACATTGAATTGTTTGCCCATGTGAGGGGAAGGAAAAGGAGTGGTAATTAGGGATAAAAAAGTAAAAGTAAAAAAACCTACAAGAAGAACTTCACATGTTCCACTGAGAGCTTCCCACAAGCTGAAGAGTGACTAACACAATCCTTGGCTGAGGTCAAAACAAACAAAAAGAAAGTAAAAATAGATAGGAAGGAGACAAGAGACATCTTTGGAGACTGAATCAAGTGGACTGTGACTATTTAGATGTGGACACTGCAAGGTAAGGAAGGAACTGGACCTTGTAAGAAAAGAACAGAGGAAGCACTGAAGAAGGAACTTGTCTCAAGATAGAGTTAGAGGCATGCTTTAATTCTTGGAATATTCTTTCTGATTTCTTGTATTGCCTTTGACATCACACAACTATTCACTCAACTTATGATTACTGAGCTCAAAAACACTTTCTGCATCTACTTTTCAGCTCCCTGTGGTCTGGTTTCTATCCCCATAATTTTATGAAAACTGTTATTCCTGATCACCCACAAATTTCATATTGCCAAATCTAGCACTTTTCAGGCCTTATCTCTCTTGAGATTCAGCAGCATTTGAAGCAGTAGACAACCCCTGCTTCTTGAAACACTCTTGGCTTCTGTACCACTCTTCTCAATTCTTCCAGCTCTTCCTTCTAGCTAATCATAGCCTCTAAATGTTCCTGAGTGTTTTCTCTACAAGCTCTTCCTAGAGTTCTCATCTGTTCCCTGGTTTTACGATCTATGATGATGATGATGTCCAAATTTATTCCCCAGTCCGTGGACCACCTCCCTGAGAGGCAATCTTTTATCCAAGTGTTTAACTGACCTCTTCACCTGTCTCTCGGCTGAATCATTTATCCAGTCCAAAATGTAACTCTAAATTCCCAAATGTCTTATCAAGGCTTACAGAGGCCCTGCTCACCTGAGTGACCCAGTTCACTGTTTAGTCACAATGTTCTGTCCTAGCCCAAGTCAGGCTCTTTCCTCCAAGCCCTTTTTTTCTGGCACTTGCTCCTCTGTCTCTGCTAAGAGCTCCCCTGAATCCCTAATCTAAAGGGGAGCATTCCTCCCTCCACTCTGCTATTTTCAATCACAGCACTTGGTCTCAGTCTCACCTGTAAATTACTTTGTTTACAATCAGCCTTCCCAAAGAGAGTAGAAGATCCAATAGGCTGGAATCTTACTTTTTTTCGTTCTTTATTGTATCTCTGCATCTGACAGAGGACCTGGCTGGAAGGGAGCAGTCAACACTTGTAGAATGAATGTAAAAGTTAACGCATGCGTGCTAAGCATACGATAACCACAACATATCCATGGCCATGGACTAACGTGCCTTCCAAGAAAACCACTTTTAAAAAGAAAACTAATCTTGGAGAGAGGGGGTGGGAGCGAAAGAGAAACACTGATTTCCACTTGTACTTGTTCCACTTATTTATCCATTCATTGGTCGCTTCTTGTATGTGCTCCAAAGGGGTATGGAACCTGCACCTTGGAGTATGGGGACGACGCTCTAACCAACTAAGCTACCCCGTCAGGGCAAGAAAACCACATGTTTACAGGTTTTATTTATTTATTTTTAGAGAGAGGGAAAGGGAGGGAGAAAGCGAAGGAGAGAAACTTCGATCCGCTGCCTCTCACACACCAACTGGGAACCTGGCCCGCAACCCAGGTATGGGCCCTGACTGGGAATGGAACGAGCGACCCTTCGGTTCGCAGGCCGGCCTTCAACCCCCTGAGCCACACCAACCAGGGCAAAAACAAAAACAAAAACAAAACAAAACACTTTTTTTAAAATGAAAGGACACAAGGCACGGTGGAGCAAGCCAGCGGGGAAGGGGGTCCTACCTCCGTCCGCAAACAGAGAAAATGCCAAACAAGACCACTCTCCGGCCCTCCCTCCACCTCTGTGCCTGGCCCCCTCGAGCGGGAAAACAGAGTCAATAATGCCGAGAACACCGTGGTCCCGCTCAGGCCAGCCCTCTGGCCCCGTCCACGAGACTCTCGACTCGCGCCGAGACCTTCCAGCTACGCCTCCGCACGCCTAGCCTCACCTGAGCACGGAAGTTCCATCTTTCCCGTCGTCTCTCCGCAGCTCGTTTTAAATCGCGCGCGGATACCACTGAGGGCCGTTAAGGCTGCGTTAACGTCACTCGTGGGCGGGGTCGGAGGCGCGCCTGCGCAGACCGCCCGGTCCCCCGCCCTGAGGAGAGTGTTCGAAAGGTGTGGTAGGATTAAGACTTGAGACTAGGTCTGGAGGCTCCAGTCCCATGGGCTGACTGGAGAGGGTCTGTGGACCTCCTTCGCCCCGGAATAGTGTGAAACTCCCTCCTTTCGAGCGCTGGACGTGAAACTGGGCGCTGGGGGGTCAGCATGGAGTAGGCCGAACGAGGGCTCTGCTTTCATGGAATTTACTGATGGGGAAGGCCGATTACCAGGAAACAATGTTAATTTCCTTGCGCTGTGAAGGCAGCACAACGCCAGGGAGGTGAAGGACGGGTGTGGGAACGACAGGAGAGGGAGGCGATTCCGCAATGAGCATTCCAGGCAGGAAGGAAAGATGCCTAACGTTTTATGTACATTTTAAAAATGAAGGTAATCGTTCTGATTCAAATTCTTGCGAAAAGCTTCATGTATCTCTTTAAAAAAAAAAAAAGGTTAAGGTCGGAAGTGAGGTAGGTGCAATGTGCCACCAGCCTCGTGGTTCTGTTTCATCTAATCCCTAGGTCTGATCCCAAGAATTGTGTTAGGGGAGGAAAGGCCAAGGCAATTCCTCCAAGTATTATATCCCTAGAACAGCCCACAATTTCTTATAACACACATCTGGCATTTTATACAGTGTTTCTTCTCAAGGGTGCTATTGACATTTGGATGAGACAATCGCTGAGGTGTGGGATCCAGTACTCTGTGGCATTTGCCTGCAAAATGCCTTCAGTGTCCCTCTGTCAGTTTGGCAACCAAAAAAGTACTACCCTTTGTTGAAAACCAGTTTTTAAGTCTATTTGATTTTTGCATGAACTTGTTCTCCCAGTGACAAATTTTAGCATAAGGCAGTGTGGGATAGAGGAAAGAAAACGATTTTACAGTATTCATCTCAGCAAAGGATACCAACCACCCAGGAGCCATCCTGGACCACTGCCTCTCACTCTCCATGCACAATACATTGTTGAGTTCTCTTTACTTCCTAAAAATCTCTTCAATCACGTCTCTCACTTTTTTACAGTATATTTTATTGATTATGCTATTACAGTTGTCCCATTTTGCCCCCTTCACTCCCCTCTGCCCTGCACACACCCTCCCACCCACATTCCCTGCTTTAGTTCCTGTCTATGGGTCATACATATAAGTTCTTTGGCTTCTACATTTCCCATACTATTCTTACTATCCCCCTATTTTCTACCTACCATCTACGCTACTTATTCTCTGTACTTTTTCCCCCTTTCTCCCCCTCCCACTCCCCTGTTGATAACCCTCCATGTAATCTCCATTTCTGTGGTTCTGTTCCTGTTCTAGTTGTCTGCTTAGTTTGCTTTTGTTTTTGTTTTAGGTGTGGTTGCTAATGATTGTGATTTTGCTGTCATTTTACTGGTCATATTTTTTATCTTCTTTTTCTCAGATAGATCCCTTTAACATTTCATATAATAAGGGCTTGATGATGATGAACTCCTTTAACTTGACCTTATCTGAGAAACATTTTATCTGCCCTCCCATTCTAAATGAAAGCTTTGCTGGATAGAGCAATCTTGGATGTAGGTCCTTTCCTTTCATGACTTGGAATACTTCTTTCCAGCCCCTTCTTGCCTGTAAGGTCTCTTTTGAGAAATCAGCTGACAGTCTGATGGGAACTCCTTTGTAGGTAACTGTCTCCTTATCTCTTGCTGCTTCTAGGATTCTCTCCTTCATTTTTACCTTGGGTAATGTAATTATGATGTGCCTTGGTGTGTTCCTCCTTGGGTCCAACTTCTTTGGGACTTTCTGAGCTTCCTGGACTTCCTGGAAGTCTATTTCCTTTGCCAAATTGGGGGAGTTCTCCTTTATTATTTGTTCAGATAACTTTTCCACTTGTTGCTCTTCCTCTTCTCCTTCTGGTACCCCTATAATTCGGATGTTGGAACATTTAAAGATGTCCTGTAGGTTCCTAAATCTCTCGTTATTGTTTTGAATTCTTGTTTCTTCCTTTTTTTCTGGTTGGATGTTTCTTTCTTCCTTCTGGTCCACACTGCTGATTTGAGTCCCAGTTTCCTTCCATTCCTGTTGGTTCCCTGTACATTTTCCTTTATTTCACTTAGCATAGCCTTCATTTTTTCATCTAATTTGTGACCAAATTCAACCAGTTCTGTGAGCATCCTGATTACCAGTGTTTTGAATTGTGCATCTGATAGGTTGGCTGTCTCTTCGTTGCCTAGTTCTATTTTTTTCTGGAGCTTTGATCTGTTCTTTCATTTCAGCCATATTTTTTTGTTTGGGTGTGCGTGTTACATAGTTAAAGGCAGAGCCTTAGGTGTTCATCAGGGTGGGGCAACCCTGTCGCTGTGTTGTGATGTTGTATGTGGGGAAGGGATCCTAGAGGGAACAATGGCACATACCCTGCTCTCTGCCAGATTTCAGTCACTTCCCCCACATCCCACAAGCGAATTGGGCCTTTCTGGTGCTGATTCCCATGTGGGTGGGTTTGTGTATGTTCTAGGACCCTCTGGGTCTCTCCAGTGAACTCTCCTGTGAGGCTGGGAGTTTCTCCTGCTGCCGCCTCAACCCCCACAGGTGTTTTCAATCAGTGGTTTGAGGGTTTATTTCCTGCGCATTGGGGCCCTGCGTTGTGCAGTCCGTCTTGCTCCCCAGTTGTTTCTCCTGGTTTATCTATGCAGGAATGTGGGATTGCCCAGTCCGAAGTCTGCTGCCTTGCCCACCCTGCTCCATAATCCCTCCACAGTCCACCACCTCACTGGGTCCTCCAGCCTTGCCGAGAGTCCTCTCTGCCTGGTTGCCCATTTCTGCCCCTCCTACTGGTCTGGATGAATGTGTCTTTAACTCCTTGCTTGTCAAATTTCCATACAGTTTGATTTTCTGTCAATTCTGGTTGGTTTTTGTTTTTAAATTTGTTGTGCTTCTTTTGGTTGTGTGAGGAGGCACAATGTGTCTACCTATGCCTCCATCTTGGCTGGAAGTCACATGTCTCTCATTTTTGTCCACAACACCTTGCTGGTCTGCAGCAGCCCTCCAGTGGCACTGACTCCATTCTCTTTGGGCCCAGGGTGATGGTTGCTAAGTATACATCTGACCTGTCATTTCCTCTGCAAAGTCTAAAACAATTTGAAGGGAACTGAATTTTTGCCCCCCTTAAGCTGCCTTTTTGGGACATTGATTTTAAGCTGTTTATTAACAAACAAGACTCAGGAAGAACCTTTGACCCTCACTCCTTTACTGCCCAAGAGATTCAGACAGAAAAACTTGCTTCAGGAAAGGAGCCTTGGCTTAATCACCTTAAGAATCTTCACTCTAGCGTTTAGTCAGGAAGCCCCCAAGCCTGTTAGCTAGTTATTCTATGTCCTGTTGTTTCTGAATTGCCTGGTAAGAATTTTCCTACTATGTATGTTTTGCTCTTCAACTACCTGTAAATCTCCCATTCTCATTTCAAAAATCTAATATCCTGTCCCCCGCTTTCTCCTCCTTTGTTTGAAAATGTCATATATATCCAATATTGCCTCACTGTGTCTTTGATATTTTTCATACCTGTGTGAATTCCTCATGAGTATGTATTAAACATTTGATTTTCTCCTGTTAATCTGTCTCTGTTCAATTATTATCCTAGCTAGAAGAACTTAGGTGGCAAGAAAAATATTAATTTCTTTTTTAGCCTCTACACATTTAAAAGTTCTGCTGTTCTGAGAACTTCTAAAGTGATCAAGGTCCTGTAGGGTCCAGTCCTGCAGCCTCTCCAACCTCATCTTGCACCTTGCCTCCCTTTGCTCCCTGTCCTGTGGTCACTTGGGCCTTCTTTCAGACTTGCCCTCACCATGCCTACTCCCTGCACGGGGCCTCTGTGGGTGCTATGTCTTCCACATAGAACCCTCTTTATCCCCATCTTCACCCAGTTAGCTCACGTCACTTCCTCAGAAAGGCCTTCTCAACTGGAGGCCTTAGTAGAACTTGTCACCTAGGCAGTTTTACAGCTGCTGGGGTGACTGTTTTGTGCCTATCCTTTACATAGACTGTCAACTCCATGAGGATGAAGCCATGTCCTTACTCACCATTGTTTTCCCAGGGCCTGGTGCTAGCCCAGAATGTGTATCATCTAATACTGGTAATAGATTAAACTCCCATGAACATAGGCTCAGTGTGTGCTAGGGAGGAGGAGAGTGAGCCTCTGAATTCCATGTCTGCACTAACTAACAGCAGTGGGCCTTGGGAGGGTGGTGGGTGGCACAGAATCAGGAGCCTCTAAAGTTCCTGACAAAGGCAGGCTACTAGGTAACCTGTTAGGTGAGACATGAGGCTGTTTTGTGGATATAATAAAGCCTCCTGAGCTGACTGCTTGGGCTTCCATGCACTGGAAGTAAGGGGCCAGCCCCATCCCCTGCTGTCTGTGAGTTCAGGCAGGCCACTTACCTCCTGCTCCGAATGCCCATCTTTGTTTTGGGGGATTAGGGGTACAGAGGCTGCCAAAAGATTGAACGATTTATCAGTGATGTCAATGGTATGCAAAACTCAATTACCCTGTCTGTACAAAAGTACAATGTTGGGACCCCTTCCCCATTCCTTCTCAGCAGAAAAGCAATGCTGAAGCCATTCTCCTTCCTCATTGTACTCCTAAGATTCTACTTCCCCAAAATGAATACAAACAGCCTTAATTTAGGTGAGGAAGAATAGTGTTATCAATTGGATAGCCGAACAAACAATCTTTTGGCTTCAAATTTGCCCTGATCTCCCAGCCTGCAGCTGGCTTATATCGTAATGTTGTTTAAGATATAAACATGTTTTCACTGGCTTTACATTCATTTTGACCTCTGAGAAAATGCCTTTAATTTTGTATATGATAGGAAATTCCTGACCTCCTAAAGACTGGGCTAAGGACCAACAAATTCTGTCTTCTGGGATTTCCAAACATACCACCCTTTATCTTAAAATTAATAGTGTTTT